ATATATTCTTGTTAGTATGGAATTGCCCTCTTCCTTCCGAAATTACACATGGGTGCATGAAGAAGCATGACGAGTGATGAGTCCTTCTACATATTCTGTATTTGTGCATACGCATGAATGTAGGTTGCGTTAGGTCACAATATGAGAATAAATTTGGTAGAACGTATTATTGCCTAGTCTTTCACGGCGTGGTGGCGGGATAGGCATTCACATTATTGGCAAAATGTTCCGTGTTGATTTGAAACTGAAGGTAATTTCCTTTGTGGAAATCCAAGAACGATCAGTTTAAAAGGAATGAAGTGAGAGGCAGGTTTCCTTTCTCAATCTTCGCCATTGGCCTCGTATTGTTATTAGTCTTTATCGCCAAGTAATATAGCCGTTCTCCATAACTTCCTTCCCTTCGGCTCAAGTGTAAATGTGGCCTCTGAGATTTTCCTCCCCACAACAGGTCCTGGAACGGGGAACGAATAAAAGAAATGCAGTCAAATATGTTATAATAGCAATTCTGTAAACGTCGTAGTGGAGGAACTTTGTGTACATTTTTGCAACACGAGTCGTGCTGGGAACTATTAACAAACAATATTACAACTTACACCACTGCTCGAGATGGTTTTCCGATATGGGAGAAATAGCTGTTGTTCAGGTTGTAGCAAGTCGATACGATAAGCGAGGGGCGTTGGCTAACTCTGGAGTAATTTATAACATCATTCATTTTTGAGACCTTCAACATGATTTCATTTCGTGGTCATGAATGATTTTCCCTCCCAACTCACTGCAGGAGGACGAACATGCTTCTAATAAATGAATTGCGATCGGATACTGTCAAACTACAGCTATTTTTCAGACATAATTTTAGTGAAAGGTGAAATTATCACGGAATGGCAATTAATAGTAAATGTTGAGTAAATGGTAATGAATATTTTTATTCCTGGTAAACGGAAATGGCGTTGTGTGTGATAGTCCTCATGTTCCCTGTTCTACCGTCCTCGTAAAGGTGTCTGCTCGCAAATGTGTCCCGTTCTACAGTAACAAATAATGAAGGAGAAATTTAAAAAGCAAGCTGGACGACCAAATGCACAATCCCGTTGACGGGGCAATTGAGAGGGCCAAGATTTTCTGAATGTCGTATAATTTTAACATTAGATCATGTTTCGTGGTATTGAAGAGGGTGATAAGATTGGATGTGATGGATTCTCGAAATCCCTCCATGTGATAAATACATTGCCCTCCAATCTGCTTCAGTACTTCATGAATCCATCCATCCAATATGTTTCGAGTGCCAATAACAAATTCTTCCAGAACCACCAACCTTCTTGAAAGTTTCAAAATCTGTGACTAACAATTGACTTTAAAAGAAACTGAGCGCAAATGCATCTCTTCGAAGATGTAAAAATTCCAATTGTTGCGATTTGAATCATGCACATCCATTTAGCCAGGAGAAGCCTGGACCTCAACAACCTATGTAAAAAAAGAACAACGCGACTGTCACGGCATAGATGGGAAACCACTTTCAATGCAAACATACAATATAACCATTCTTTTCGGATACAATTGTGACGTAATGTTTCTGCTCGAAGTGTCTCCTTCTTCTTCTTACCTGTGTGTTTGTGCAATTTGGCACATGCGACGCTAACATATTTATTTGTGTGGATTCACCATTCACCAAGGCACTAACTAGCAGCAACCTTTCCCAACCGCCTACACAGATGATGTATTCAACCAAAGAGAAACATGTGTCTGAATTCGGAAGCAGTTGACTTGCCTCTTCTGCAAGGACTTCTGGAAACCAACTACAAATGGAGAAATTTGTATTCAACTCTTCGATTTTATCGAAAAGATGCATAACATTGTGTGAGAAAATGGTATAGTTTAGGAGAAATTGACTTTCTAGCCCGATCCAATCTCATGTAACCATATCTGTCTGTCCGTTCGTCCCTCCGAAGTATGATGACTCTCTTGAACGTAACTAAATTTAGGATGTCCGAAACATGGCAGCGTTGCTCATCATTATATTTGAGCTTCCGAGAGATGACATCAGCTAGTTGGGTCATGGTGATGCATGGTAGTCAACTAGTAGATAATTCATAATAATGATATTACGTACGTATGAATGCTATTCCTGGCTCGGGCTGCCTTCAAAGATGTGCTGTACGTTTTCAATCTGCAATAAAGCTGCTGAACATGGCGTCGTCAATTCCTTCATCTCTTTTACCTACCTCCATCCAACTTCATCTCGTCCCCATTTGCTATGATGGTACTTACACATTTTGAATGTCTCTCGATCAGCCTTTTTCAAACTTTGGTGGGATGAAATGGGGGAATCCCCTGTCTGCCAAACACTTTTACCATGTCCACCACTGCGAACTGAACATGGATGGAAATATAGCAAAGGGGCAAAGCCATCGCTCTCTCTTTCTCTCCATCGACTCAACTTAACAAAACTTTGAGAAAGAAAATCTCTCTGGTCTCAACCCAGACGTGGATTCCGATACTCTTTCATGCAGCCACCTTTCTCCACACATTGACTCCCGGCCAACAAATTCCCTGTTTCGTCTTCCTCTTTATCCAATTCCAGTTTATCCGTTCAATCCATCTCATCCAATACCCATTTCTTCCTGCTGGTGTTACAAGTGGAGCTGAATTTAAAACTACTTTCATCGTCATCATATCACTTGTGATTGGACTTTGACTTTCTCCTCCCTGATTTTTCTCCCTGTTGGTAAAAGTAATTCTTTCGCAAACGGAAATGGAGCCATCATTCTCTATTATAAACGCTTTATATAATCCTTACATAACTCGAGAGGAAATGGGTATGCAGATTCATATGTGATTCGATTCACCGGGATTCTGAGGAGCAAATTCGCTGAGAGAGCAAAATGGATGCAATTCGAATGCCTGCTCTACTCGAGTAATTTTTCTCCAACGAGTCCCTTTATGTCTGTGCGTTCTGCGTGGCGTGTACTAAACGCGGTTGTGCAGAATGCAATGATATATATATTTAGCCAGTCATGCTTGTGCTCCACTTTCCCCATTTTCTAACATCAGCAGATTCATCTCATTGCAGTTTGTTTCTATTCCCAGCAATGCCTTCCTGATATATGTACCTACCCAGATGGAGGATGATACCAAAATGCAGAATCACATATATCGCTCTCTTCTCCTTTATCTAACGCTGTAGAGGGTGGAAAGCACATCGTCGACGTATAAATACATCGTCCGCGCATAAAGGCTCATAGAGGAGAAAGTAAAGCATCCGAGAGAGAAACAGGCTGATAAATAACTATGGTTTGCTTAGAACAATTCCTCCACTTTAGGGATGCTTTTGGTTCCTTTGAGACTCCGCAAAGAAAAACTACGGGATTAGATTCTCTGAAAGAAAATTATTTTTCTTCCGTACTGACCTTAAATATATTTTCTAAACGTAGAGAGAGTGCTATCTGTGTACTTATATTAAGGCGAACACCTACCATGAATATAACTCAAGAATTACAATTAATTTTACAATAGGAACTTTACTGTCAAAGTTCAAGTTTGAATACGTATATGCACCTTCGTATGTAGTTTACCGCTCAATCATGTGTTAAGTAAGAGTGGGTCACTTTCTGCCTGGAGTAAATGTCGTGAAAGTGTATGCACATGGAGTGATACTGGAAAATGTGGAGAGTCTGTGTGGCTGATGTGAGAGTGTTGGTCGAGAGTAGTGGGTTTGTGTAATGCTGCAATGGCAGTAAAAGGCTCAAGAGATGAGGTTTTATTGGCTATTTACTCCAAATGATTCTTGACCACTTACAGTTTTATGTGTCGTAGTCAAGAAAACCGAGTTCATTCCAAGCAACTAAACTAAGAACTGCTACTACTCGTCTGAATCTACTTTTCTCTCCCATCCACCCAAGCCGTGGAATTTGGCAGTACATTTCTGCATCCAGTACTTCCACTGACCACTGTAGAACGAAACTGAGGAGTTACTACCGAGAGGACAGCCGACATATTCACAAGTACAAAAGTACACAGCGTCTCCAATTTCCTGTTACACTTGTTGACCAAACTCTCTCCTTTTTTATTTTACACTGAAATGATTTCACACATATTGCGTGCAATTTTCCACGGAGTCGTAAACCAGCGTGGAAAATGAAATTAAACCTGATTACCATAAGTTTAATGAGGTTATGATCACTAGCGGAAAGGAAGGAGAAATCGCACACTGACTTCTGGGTGGTGGCGTATAAATGAAATTATCGCTACTTAGCACTGCCACCGTTATTAGTTGCAAGGAAGCAGAGGAGGAGGAGGAGGAGATCCCATGGTACGTCAGACGCTGTAGGCGATGAGTGCGTACGAGCCAAGAGTGCAGATAGTAGATGTCAAAGAGATGTCGTTTAGGAATTAGTGGATAATTTGAGCCTTGTAGAGAAAGTCGGATGAAGAAAAGAACTTAAGCTTCTTCTTTACATCCCCTCATCCTCTTCTCCACTCTCCCATTCTCCCAGTCGCTCCTGCATTTCACTTATCTCGCACAAAATGAGCTGCAGTCGCTGAAGGACGCTCGCTCTTTGCCAGCTTTACTCCCACCTCTGCCACTTTCTTGGCCCCAGTTCAGATCAGACTTATGAAGATTCATGAAGAAACCAACAAGCAAGCGTCGATGATGTGTAAACGCGTACACATGTAATTCCAATGAGGAGGAGGTATTCCTTTATGGCAAACCCTCGCTTCATTTGGCATCAGGAGAGAAAATTTTTATCTGAAAGAAGGCATCTCACTCAGCAGGCTGAACCAATATACGACCGTACATTGCATGCACGTATGTGCAGCCGTGAACCTACACATACCGCTAACTGTATGTAGTCTGTAGCATTAGTTAGCATTAGTGTTACTCGAGGTTAGTTAGTTACCACTGTAATGGAGCGAAAGTGAGAGGATGGGAATAAATGAGAAAATTAATCGCCTTAAATGGAAAGAGAAAGTAAGCGGATTTGACTTGTTATTTTCTTTGGGAACAGTTCCAGTAGTTCACGTCGAAGGGGTTTTGGGTCACCGAGTGGAGATGCCCTGTGATATCACACCGAAAAGACGAGACGACACAGTCTACATGGTCTTATGTAAGTCCACCTTTCGCAATTTGTAATTATTAATGTTCTTGTATAGAATTATGAAAAATTGAGTAGTAGTTTTTACGATGATGTATGATGTGGTTAGTGAGCTGTTTGTAAACAAATGTGCAGAAATACTTTATGAATGTTAAATTTTATGTATTTTTAGGGTTCCGGGAGCATGTTGGAAAACCTTTCTACAGGTAAGAAGAACGCAATTCTTGTCTGTTAAGCCTTTCAGGGCAAATATACAAACTCTGCACTATTTGGTTAATCTGTGGCGCTTCGCAATGACGACAATCTTATGTAACTTTGCAAAGTTTGTACGTAATATGCAAACCATAATGCCGCATTGTACACACAAACATGGGGGAAAGTCTGTGGGCATGGAGAAGAGCAATATATGCAGCTCTTTTTGATGCCCTGAAACAAGTTTCTTTTAAAGTTAATATTTTATAATAAGAGAGCGATTCTGACATGTACAGCGCAGGGGAGAAAGCCCAACAGGAAAGCAAGTGACTTTGAGCGGAGGACATTCTTGCACATTCTGGGTAGACAATCTGGCATCCTATCAAGCAAGTGTCTCAAAATTGCATTATGATGTACTGAAGCAAGTGGTAAAGTAGTTGACAGCATTATGTCATTCATATCAATCTCTTGCTTAACAAGGCTGACTGGTTGATAGACAGGTGAATTAACCATGATATCCTCATAAAACCCACATCACCCTGACGCCCAAGAGAGAAAAGAGAAAAATCGGAAAATCCTAGACTGGTTAATATTGCCAAAAAATAAGGATAATGGTGAAAGCAAAAAAAAACGCAGATTCATTTTATCCGTTCGCATCTATTTTATCATCATATTTCGCTGTATTTATAAACCTTGGATTTCTGTGGTCTTTGTGAAAGAAATCATACGTGGCCTCTGGTTCCAGACATTGCGTCTCCGTTGGACTATTAAACCTATAAAAAGATCCTGTTCGCTTTTATCTCTGCAATGCACTGCAGTTATAAACAATATTTAGCACCACGGTAGATTGTATTACATGTAAGTATTTATGTAGTCCAGTCGATTATTCATGAAGTCAAAGAACGTGGGCGACGGGTGAATTAGTACTTTAATGTTAATACAGATCCGCATCTATTCCATCATCTGCAGGACAATATTTGATGTTGTATAGTATTTTTAAACTCGTTGTACTACATATTTTTAAATTACTTTATATGCATACGTATAAACATTTAATACTAATACCTGCATACGTAATACCACGAGCCAAGTAAATAAAACTTTTCATGCAAATCTTGGATGTGAGTATGTACATATTTTTAATAGAAATTGAGCTCCTGCTTTCAAGATTCGAATTTCTTTGAGAAATCCCTTCTTTTGAGCAAATGGAGAAAAAGTATTCATCTCACTTTACTACGCAGACAAGGAAGCAAGAGAGCAGGGTATTGCTTAGCTGCTTTCTTTCCTGTCATGAATGCCATACCACCACTGCCATGTACAGCCTGCTGTCTGCCGTGTTGTATACAGGGACGATAATAATATGATGTACTCCGAGTCTGGTGGTGGATGAAGAACCAAGTAACCATACCAACCAAAGAGGCAACTAACCAGAAATTCCATTCCCTACTCAGACTCTAATCAAAGCGGGCTGATGATCATCTCCCGAACCGGAAATATATGACACGGTTCTTCCATTAAAGAGACAGTTCGCATATGGAAATTTCAGAAGCTTTTTTCATTCTCAGTTTAAATTTTACTTTTTGTCCACCAACCTCTGTGCAATATGTACTCTCAGCCATAGCCTGTACTCACTCTCACCACCACCACACCCAACCCCACACGAGACGAGGTGATCACTGGGGAGAAAGCAGAGAAAGACGAAATTCAATCCAAATGAGTACAACGTAGCGAGTCATCTCAGCCCAGAGGATGCTAAAAGTAGGAATATTATTACCATCACCGCATCACAAAGCTTTACCGGAGCCACACAACGTACGGGGAAGAGGCGGCTGACGACTGCATACTGCTTCCACTACCACATTATTGATAAAATGTCAGCCACAACCAATAAAAGCATGTGGAACCGCACATTCTCCCACTCGCTCACTCACCATTCCCTTTCAAGCAAGTGTCTTTTTGTGCATAATCATCCGTCGACTATCTCCTCTCCGTGTGTACGAAGAGGGAAAGTAAAGTAGTGCTGCTTCTGATTCGTCACCTTTTCCAGGCCAAGTAACGCTGTTTGGGGCTCTCCTATTAAGTATGTAATGCGAAAAGTAGTCGGCTTTCGCACTTTTGACGCTTTTCAACAACACACTGCACTTTCACTCATGATGGTGCTTTTCCGGCCAATGTACAACTGCAGTGCGGTGGTGAAATAGGACTGGCGATTTACTCCCTGCTCTTGATACACATGCATGCACATGTACGTACATATATGTACCTATGGATGTAAGCAAGTATGTAGGTGGCACGGTTATGAATGTAGTCGAGTATCGTGTTACCAGTCGTGCGGTTTATTATGGAATCCAACTTTTACATTTGTGTTTTTGTTTGAAAACACACAAGTAGTGCGGGGATGCGAATGATGATGGGACGATGCTCGTGGCGGTGGGTATTCAAAAGTAATAGACGTGTGTATGTACGTAATAACATTACTCTCTCCCATTGTCTGGGAACAATGGAGAAAAGGCTCTCAAAGACTTTCGGGCATGGAATATGAGATGTGGAATCAAATATTGTGGGCTAGTTAGGGACGAGTTAAAAGTGAAGGCTGCGTACAATTAATTATTGGCTAAAAATAGCAGTCTTCGGTAAGAAGCAAGTTATTTATGGGGAGGTAACACGTACCTAAAAGTTTAAACCCCATGTTACAAGTTATATAAATTAAGTAATTATTTTCAGTTTCGATGTTCGAGGACGTGGGATGAAGACGGCAAAAACTACGTCTACAAAAACAGGATTTGATCGACGAGCGGATTTCCAAGCAGGCTCTTACCCAGCACATCTTCTCGTCAGTGATTTGCAGCTTAGCGATGAAGGTGTTTATCGATGCAGAGTGGATTATCGATATTCCCCAACTCGTAATGCGTTAGTCAATCTGACTGTAGTTGGTAAGGTCAAAGCTGTTTTTTTAATGCAAAAACATACATTATCAGTATTTATGATTGTTATTATGGTTCACATTTTTTACCATGTTTATGATCAGAGTTGCACATACATTGGTAATCATAAAGAATTAACGCACCATTTCTGAGCTACCAGCTGCATATCAATGTAAGTTTAGGTAGCCAAGTGTGGATGATTTCTCAGTGTTTACCACTAATTGCGGATGCATGCACGGGCACAATGAAGTCATTATATTTTTACTCATGAACTGCATGCCATCAACTTTTATATCGAGAGCATTGATGTGACTTTAAAAGCTCCATTAAACGTGACGAGTAGCAATTAACGCGTTCGTTCATTTCAAAGTGCACTCTAGTTATTGAGAACATGCATGATACAAATCACATGGAAATTACAAGAATTCTCTTATCTTACAGAAATCGTATTGCATATTTTTTTAGCTTTACTACAACATGTTGTAGTCTAAAATGGCCATTTTTTTGTTCAAAATTTGTAAGGAGCAAATCCTATCATATATATATATATTCTTGACCAGGGTGACCTAAGGAATGCGCCTAATTTTTTTTGTGAGGTCACACCCCCTGGGGGGCGAACCACCCCCCCTGTGGGGGGGAAGTTGAGACTGACCCCTGAATATTGTTAAGCATCTATCGCTGATGTTACCTGCCAAATTTCAGAATTTTAGCTCGCATGGTTCGGGCGGTTCATGCATTTGAAGGTTGTAAAACAGGCGTTTTGGGGCTTTTTCGACCACACCCCCTACCCTAAGTGGGACGCATGGGGAAGTGAACTTGGTGCTGTCTGATTTACCCCTTCGAGTACTACATAATCCTACAAAGGTTCCTTGGAATCGAGCGGGATGCTCTAGATATTTCATGCCGAAATCGTCCACCATTTTTTCACCATTTCCCATAACATTATTTGCCTAAGTTTGAAAACTTGCTATGGACGATTTCGGCATGAAATATCTAGAGCATCCCGCTCGATTCCAAGGAACCTTTGTAGGATTATGTAGTACTCGAAGGGGTAAATCAGACAGCACCAAGTTCACTTCCCCATGCGTCCCACTTAGGGTAGGGGGTGTGGTCGAAAAAGCCCCAAAACGCCTGTTTTACAACCTTCAAATGCATGAACCGCCCGAACCATGCGAGCTAAAATTCTGAAATTTGGCAGGTAACATCAGCGATAGATGCTTAACAATATTCAGGGGTCAGTCTCAACTTCCCCCCCACAGGGGGGGTGGTTCGCCCCCCAGGGGGTGTGACCTCACAAAAAAAATTAGGCGCATTCCTTAGGTCACCCTGGTCAAGAATATATATATATATGATAGGATTTGCTCCTTACAAATTTTGAACAAAAAAATGGCCATTTTGGACTCCGTGCAGTGAACTATTTAAAAATAGTGAATAGTCAACATTATAATGTTTTCAGTATATTGATACTAGTAATTTTAACATTCATAGCACACAGAATATACAGGTTAAAAAATAGTTTCATTTTTGTAGCAAGAAATGAAAAGGATTTTATCAGGTTGATTGTACTTCTTAGAATGGGAAATACACGAAAGTAGGAGTAATATCAAAGAAATAGTGCATAAAAACTTACACTTATCCAACATCTAACCAAGAAACGTTGTAAAATATAAGGTGTTAACATTAGCCAATTAAAAAAATAGTGCTGATACTTTTAACACGGAATCTTAAAAGTAGCGTACACTTTCTCTTCAAGAGAAAGAGAAATGCACTTTAAAGACTACATTCCCCTACTCTTGTCGTCATACCGTCATTGAGCAACAACACCACCATTTTTTCACAATTTAAATAACAATCTTCCCCAGACCTTGGGGAATTTTTCTGAATTATGCATCCTCTCATACAACACCATTTTGCAGGACCATCTGATTCCCACTAAATAGATAGTAAAATTATGTTCAAGCATTTACCACGAATATATCTTCCACCTTTCCCGTCCTCCCCCAAAATAGTTTTAAATTGAAAATTGGGTAGATGGTTTATTGCTCAGAAGGGTGAATTTCAAGAAGAAATTAGGCATATTTTATTACCACTTTATGTTTAGTATCAGGAAGAGACAGACAAATTGCTTGTGTACAAATTAACAGTGTCACTCTTCTTGTTTCCAGTACCACCCTCGACGCCTGTAATTTACGACGAGACGGGGCAAGAGGTTTCATCCGTGTTGGGCCCGTACGTTGAAGGCTCAGATGTTAGACTAAGTTGCCGGGTTTTCGGAGGTAACATATTTTCGGGAGCGAGAATTTTTACATTTTTTATGTCATGATATATGCTTGATGACGCTTTTCACATTTGCACACTTGATGCAAATAATCCGTTGTACTAATCCTAAGCAGATTTAAAAACATTGTCATATCTATAATTTTCCTGCTTATATATTGTGCTTTAAAGTTTTTGCATTTATAACTTTCAATTCTGAGCAAGCTGGTGCTTTCCTGACGGTGTAGTACTCGAACTTTACCAAAATGTACTAAATAATTAACAATGAATAGCATTTTCATAACTGAAGCAGCCCTCGAAGGAACTAAATTGGATTCCTCCAGACACGTGAAAATAATAATAATAATAATAATCTCTTTTCACAGGTTTTCGCTTCCGTCCCTGCCATTTTCTTTGGATTTATTATTCTTTCATATACACGGGCTTAGGGTTGTAGGGAGACATATGTATGTGCTTCTTTAGTGTTGTTGATACATACATAGCAAAAATGAAATAATGTAAATAATGAGATGATGGTTTGATAAACATTGAGCTTTTGAGTAAATAGCAAACCAAACAAAGTTTTCAATATTCCTTCCCCTTCCAATGAAAGGACACGAGAATGTGCAGTAATATTTACTTGGTTGACCAATGTGAAGTAGTGCAAGTCTCATTCAGGTTTTGTTATGTGCACAAGCCAGGTTGCTATTCAATAGGATATGTTTGCTGGAACTTTTACCGAATCCATACAAACTTTTGCAAAATTATCCAATTTCTTAGCCAACTTTTAATGACATGGTACGGTATCGTATCAAATTATGGCATGTCTGACAGGAAATGGTAAACATGGCTCTTGTCGGTCTGAAAGTAAACACGTAAAGGCTCAAAGAAATTTTTGTAATGTGATACTTACGGGTGATAAAATCGTATTATGCTTCGTATGACAGATTATGTTCCCGTTATTCAATTATAAAAGTAGACCAAAGAAACCAAAAGTTTATAAATTGTATTTTTATTATTGCTAAAAAATTGAAATTGTTGGTCTTGAGGAAATCGTAGAAAAAGTATGTTTCCAGTAAATGCGAGAACTCGGCGACTTTTGTGTTTACATGTGGCTGATTTGATCTCGGAACAATAAATTTCCCTCGAGACCTTTGCTGCTCATAGCTTCTTCAAATTTTCAACTGCAAGCAATAGCAATGTCTGCCTGCGTGGTGTGGTGTCAACGATTTCCCTTTGTTATGGCGCCCTTTATGCTTTCACATTGTGCAGAGTGCATTGTATTCCTTTTGTGATGCTATGGCATATCTCTTTCCTTCTAAACTGGCAGTTTCCTTCCACTTTCACCACCATCGTCATGCAAGCCAACGATCCCAACGTTCTCGACTACGACGACGACCTGCCTGCTTTGCATTTGCCCTTCTTCGCCTTCGTCTAGCTTGCAATCAAATCGAACTATTCTTGTGCTTGTTGTCTGTTTTCTGCCGCTGTTGCGGTCGGTTGTTTGTCAGCAGCCGCCACCAACCATTCTCCCGAGTTTAGTTGTTGTTAGTTGGTTTGGTGATGCTTTGCTTTGAACTTTGATACGGGGATGGCCATAACATGGCACATGATGGTATGGCATTTGTATGCGAACGAGCCGAGAAAGTGCAGCAATTTCATTGTTATTCAATTTCAGTTTCATTGTTTAAATAGGAAAACCTGAACCGTCCGTCGTGTTTTACGTCAATGGAGAATTGGAGGACGGAACATACCATTCTGACCGATATGGAAATGTGATCAATGAATTTGTATTTAAGGGGCTAAACCGGTCTAATCTCAACTCCCAGTTCTCGTGTAAAGCCACCAACACACGACTCATTCAACCGGTGAGAAAACCATGCTTTCAAGATATAAATTTATATGGATTGTCATAAAAAATAGTATACCATAACAAAAAGAAATATTTGCATGCATACGTTTTTCCAAAAGAGAAAGCATTTTAGTTTTGTATACCAAATTCGGGATGAGTTAGTATATTTATATGTGGGAATTTAAATTTAAAATAATTGCACGGGAACATTTGTGTTTTTAAGCAAATCCAAGTAGCAATTTAAAAGATTAAATGTCGTCTATTTATATATATACATTTGTTTACTGCTACGAAAAAGAGTTACAATGATTGTCTCGTATGAATATGACTACTTTTTCTACTGGGTAAAAAATCAACTGTTGTGCAGTTTTTTCTATGTTTTAATCTAATATTTAAAATTCTAGGTGGAGAAGTCGGTTGTTCTTGATTTAAATCGTAAGTCAAACTTTCCTTTCAACTACTTGTAGCCTCTCGCGTCTTCTGCTCCCTTGGTCATGCATCTACTCAGCATATAGGCAAATAGGCGCATAACACCTTTCGACGTACGACGGACTCCTAGGGGAAGAACTGCGTAACCCCAACACAACTTCCTTTTCCAGTTATCTCTCCATCGCATCGTATCGTAAATCTCATTACTAATTTAATCAAACTTTCCGTAAACAGGGGACTATGAAGAAACGAATGAGAGAGTGAGGGCACGTTTGAGAGCAAACTTTTGTGTTTTTTTTACTTTTGAGCCAAAAGTTTGTACAGAACGTGATGACGATACACATTTGCTTGTGCACCTTGATTCGAGTTACACCTTCTTTCCATTTGGTCCTGATTTTTGTTGAGAATCAGCACGAACAAAAAGTTGGCTTGATTCGGGGCAAGAAAACGAGGGTTACGGAAATAGGAAGTGGCCAATCTGACACACACACATGAGGTGAAGTATTACATACATACATACACATAATCTGGCCCAAGTTCGGTCTAGAATAGCGTATGTTTGGTGTGCCCCTTTTTCTCGTGTGCGAAACCTTTATCAGTTAACATTCACGTTTCTTTTGCTGGCATTTGGTCAGGACACGGTCTTGATAACGTCAGATCTGATTGAGCTGACCTATTTCTTTATTTGAAAAAAATTGCTAATTTTGATCCATATTAAAAGGTGAAGGACTACACATCAATCTTATATTGAAGAAACATGTACAAAACCATGAAATATTTGTGTTTAGATATCCCGACGACCTTGTTCTATTTCTTTTTAGATTTTCAAAAATTGAAATGTTCACAATCCGTATTTATTTGCTGTGAATGGAATATGTTGTACCTCCGCCATCAGAAATTTGGGACTGTGGCTAAACCACCAAGCAGCATAAAAGTTTATCTTGGAGGGAGCGAAATAGTTTGAAGTATGTATTGGTGCAGAAAAGGTGAAAGATTTGATAGGTCATTAAATGGGAAGATGGATGGTGAAGCTCACGCCTCCCCACCACATTTTCATTTACTTAATCCCTCCACGGCCTGAACACTATTACTTCTTCACGTGGATACTATACAATCGCGGCGGTCTAGTGCTTAGCCACTGGCCACTCGCAGCAGCAATATGTATGTAGCCGTTCGTTTGTTGGTCTGAGGTTTTCATCCCAAATCCAACTAATGAAACACTGGGAATTTCTCCGGTCTACTATATTAAATATATGTAAGTGCACAACGCTAATCTGCAGGCCTGGAAATCTAAGTAAAGATCAAAAGGAATCATTCCTCGCATAAAAGAGACTACCTTCCATTAGCCGCAGTTGCACAAGGTGACACGCAGCTGACAAACAACGAACCGAGTTTTACTTTCTCCACTCTAAACTACATACGTGCGTACCAATACAAGTTCGATTGAGACTTACTTTTGTTATACTTCTGCACACAACAAGAGCAACACATCTCACGGCAGCGTTGTTACACCTCTTTCCTAGATTCCGTCGGAAACCTGAAAGGTTTTATTTTGTACTGCGATATAATATGTTGTGGTATAAAAGTAATGATGTGTGTGTATGGGTTGCCAGATTTGAAAAAATGTGGCATAATATGTGCATATTATGGCAAATTTGTTGTTCGTGTTAAGAAATCCTGTTTTGTTTGTGAGGTGTTGGAAATGATTTTGACTATACATTCCTACGTAAATACTGGGCAGGTATTTATATTCACTAAAAATGTGTAATTGGATTTTAGCTGGTAATCTAATTTCTAATAGTAGTAGAATAAGTGCGTATGTAAATACGAGCATGATTTTCCAGTCATGATACGACAGGTTAGTATTTTAATTAGACAGCCTTGTTTGATTTCAGATTAGTTCATTTATTCACTCGCTCTCACGCACGGCAAAAACGTTGTGTTTTGGACCTGACCTAGCAAGTGACTGATGAAAATTCAGGAAATGAAGTACTTAACTGGGAAGAACAAGCTGGCGTATGCATATTACATAAGCTGCTTGCTGGGTCTGATGCCAAAAAACAGGTTGCATGCATGCAATATTTTTAGTGAAATGCGATTAAAGAGTGAGAGAGGGAAAGAGTGAGGCGAGGGTTGTTCTGAGTCGGGGATTATCGTTGCAAGTAATAAAACTCACATTAAACTGCTTGTTAAGACAAGAAAATATATTTTATGCTAACACTGCTACGCTGCATAAATAAATATGGTGTGGCGTTTCAATGGAATGACCAGGTTTCAAGAAGTGTTGTAATTGATCTTGTATAATTAATGGGTAATTTAAGCTGGCAATAATTTACTTCAATTACTGTAAATCCGATGTTGCCTAAATGGGAATAAAGGGGGGTTCCTAAACTTAAATAATTATTCAAGTTCTTCCTTCATCAACAGTGCGTTTAATTAGCACAAGTCCAGGAGCACGGTTCTTATGTACATTGCACAGGTTACACATTACTCTTGAGAACGAGAGATGAGAAATTGGAATAGCACGTCGACATATTTACCACTTGTCGGCGACGTTAGATATTCAGTTGATTTAAATTTTTTTGTTTCTAAAACATGAGGTCGGGTATCTCATTTCCTGTTCGATGCATAGACTCTGAATTCATAACAAATTCTAGCAAATTGAGAAGTTTTGCGACTCAATTTTCATAACGAAGACAATGTAGTAAAAGTAAGGAGAGGGTAAGCATGTGGACATACGTTCGTATGTACATATGAAAGTGGAGCTGTAGTCTGACTGACTTTCTTCAGGTTTCATTGTTTCCCTCCCTTTACGCAGAGTTGAGTTTGTTCGTATTCCAGGAATACCAACAAAAACTGCAATTTCCACCATACAAGAAACAACCAAGGAATGACTGGAATAAGGTTGAACGAGTGTGAGCAGAGTTATTGGGACCCGTTGACTTTCCTTCACCTCGGAAATGGTGTTGATACTACTTCTCCTTCTACACCTACATAAAAAAGAAAATGTATGAAACCGAGTTCTTTTGGAGACTTTTACTTCGTAGCAAAATTTGCTTCAGCACTTTCCCAAATTTCCTGCCGCGAAACGAGCTTTCCTACCTGAAACTCCAAGTTTTAGCCAAGCCAAGTGTGACATTGTGTGCTTGAGAGCCTATTTAGATTATCGATTGCTCCGGTTGGAGGGAAAAAGTTGGGAGCTAAACTTTTTCTAAATTGGTTCTAAACACACCTAAATTGTTTTGTTCATTTAAACTCTACTTGCTCATTTATTTAGGTTACCAAAGTTTTTAAAAATTTGCCACTCGTTTTCGCACACAATGAACTAAATAAAATATTCAGCTACAAATATACAACCAACTCTTATACGCACAGTATTAGAATTTGAGATGGACCCTCTTTCCCCTATTCATGTACTTTGAGATATGCATGGATAAATATACGCCGAATTTACAGAACGAACAGGGCACGATTTTCAAGCCAATTCATTAAACACTTCTCGAAATCAATTGTTATGTGTTCTTAGGTTTAAATCCCTTGTAAGTAACCCTTGTCTAGTTTACGTAACCCATTGTCCGTTGATGTTTCAATGTCCCCATCTTTTCATAAATCCTATCAAGTCACAAGATCTGGGCGTTGCAGGAGTGAGTGCAGTGCAGCGGAGCCGATCATGACGAACTAAGAGCACTAAGAAAACAATGCTCGTTCTCTTATGCGGGGCTTAACTCATGAATGATGTTGATGTTCAATGGCCATGGTTTTGGAAAACGGAGAGAATTTGCATTTGGAGTGCAGTGGGAGGAAGAGGAGCACCTCTTCGCTCTCAAAGAACAAGTGACTGCGAGAACAGGAGGGAACAATAACAGTTTCCAAATTACCTCGCAACCATAATTACTAAACCCATTCACTCCATTGTTCTTGCTTACTGGCCACAATGCGTGATTCCAACCACAAAGCAGCGAGTTCTGTACATAATAGAGGAGGGTGACATGCACTCCCAGATTCTGCATTTCATTCAGCGAAAACTTTCCTATTTGGATGTTGGACATGCTCGTACATATGCATTCTTGGTCATTGTGTGCGGAAACTTGATAGGCCAGCAGAGAGAGAGAGAGGGAACTAATTTGCTGCCGAATTTTGTTAGAGGGCATGGTTTTCTCGTGGGTGGCAGAACCTTCTGCATGGTGGTCCGTTTGTTCACATTTTGTTCGATTCACTTTCACTTGATCTTGTCAGTCTGTGTCCAATTTCATTGTCCCGCTGTCATTCATTAAATGGAAACGGACATTGTAGACTGGACAGCAGGCTGCCCACATTATTTTGCATTTTATATGGAGGATTTGAGCGGGGATAGAAAGTGGAACTCTTCGTCCCCTACAAACTTACAGTGTACAATCGAGACTCCTCTAGAGTTTGTACAGCTTTCCAATCTAATGATCTATTCAGACACGGCACTTTGCATAAATAAGACAAGGTTTATACACCCTTGTTGTGCTTGATTTGTACACACGTCCGCTTTCTGGATATATATCTACGAGGGAATAAATACCAGTAGGTGGATAAAAGAACACAGAATAAGCAAACATAAAATACTTTGTACTTTACAATGAAAATTAACTACACAAATATCTGCTTTCACCCACGTTAACCTACTACAATCGCAATATATGCATAGCTACACCTACGCACCCTACTCCCACATTTACCTCCTCATTTCATTATCTCCTCAGCTGGCTGGAATAATATTATGCGTGGCCTGAATCTTCTTCATCTGGGACGAAAGAGACGGGCCACAAAACAAACATGCTCATACAATCTGAAACTGTAGCATGGATGCCATGATGGCAGCAGCAAGAGAAGAATTATTACTGCAAGGGGGGTCACCTCCCTAGGTATTTCATGATCATGTGACAGCCCGCGTCCCGAGTTTTACGCTTGCATTCGTTATCCGCTTGCCTTCAGTGGTTCATCCGCACAACACCTTCTTAAATGCCGTGAAATCTAGAAAATAAAATTTGCAAGGAGTAAAACACTGAAAAAATTAAAATATCTTGGGGCGAGCGAATCAGTATACGTACGTAAACTGGATTTTCCCAATTCATCAAATACCATCATGAGTTATGGGGAGCAGAATAAGCATGATGGCCACAATCCATACTACTGGAAATGCAAATATAGTCTAATTCAAGTGTGAAATATTTAGGTACCTTTACGGGTAACAAATAAAATGCTGAATAATTTTTGTATTTGTTACAGTGAAGCCACTTTACGTGAAGGTAAAACAAAAGCAGGCCGACAAACTGGTCGTCGGACAAGAATATCGTCTTGTGTGTGAGGCAGCAGGGTCCAAACCACCAGCCGTGCTAAAATGGATAAAGGCAGGCAAAGAAATTACCCACCAGGCCACCACTCAGGTCAGTTTGGCTCATTTATTACAGGGAGAGAGGATGTCAAGGAAATTGAATATCTTGAATTTGAATCAACTTTACCCAACTGCTTTCTCCATATCCGCCACACATTTGGTCAGGTCACCGTGCATCACCATCGAGAAGATGAATCCTCCTTCTCCTCGATTCTTAACACTTTAGTCGGGCTTTTACTCCATGTTCACATCGAGTCAGGGAGGTATGTGCATGTGAAGCAGCCTCGTTCTCCACGGCGACGTGTAGATATGTTTTCGACGGAAAATGTTTGCTTCTTGTTGTCATTTCCTCCTGGGCCTGGATTTACTGTGGCACACCGCAACACTGCTGCGGTACAACAACTCATACATAGTTATCTGCTCGCACAACTACCTAGAGATTTCCCCGTCCAGCAAAATATTACACAAATTTCCTCCACTCAAACTAGTTAGTGGTGAGGTTTATTATTATGCCAGAGTGAAGCACAAGTGAAGGTTTGACTTTGTATGTATCCATTTACGTACGTTTTAATATCATAGCGAAGAAAGGCACACAACTTTCTCAGAGTCTAAATACCCTACATGCATACATAGGCAGTTACATAGACTCGTAAATATAAACCTTATAAGAAGATATATTTTTGCAGAAGGAGGGCTGTTGAAGAAACATTTTATCATATCCTGTTTGAGTGGTTGACTTTTGAGCTTTGGTTGCAGCAAAAGAATATTGGAATTTGAAATACACAAGATTGATACGTGTACGGACTTACGTACGTACGCACAACTTCAACTTTGTTTGTCCTCGAGTTTTTAGAGTCCTTCAGTAACGACGCCTATGCCTTTTCGTTGTAATGTGTACTCAGATGTGTGCTCCATCATATTAGGACCAATGATGCTGGATGGGCGAAAAGTTGAGGCTTGGTTTGAGGTTGATAAAACATGATTTATGGGGAAAGCTATGAGGAAGAATATCTGATAGAATAAGGGGGAAATGATGGTCATGCTTGCCCAACTTCTCCGCACTTTCTCCTCCTCAATCTATTCACCTTATCAACCAACAAGGTAATGGAGGACGATTTACAGATTTACAATGCATTTGTGGTCAGTGAAGTGTGGAGATTTCCTTCCTGTATGTAGTGGTTACTCGAGGTATAAAGGGATGCAAATTGCATTGGTTGGTGAAAGCAGTTACAGGGTAATAATGTCTGTGTGATTTGATTGTATGATATCAAAGGCAGGACAGATTTATGTACTTTTCAGACCAGCGATTTAAAAAATCCGATGAAAGTCTGTCTATATTTCTCCTCAAAATACGTTTCATGTATGGATATTTCAGGATATGGATGCAGGGAATGTAACCCAAAGTACGTTCCTCTTCGTGCCAACGCCGCGCGACAATGGAGCCAGAATTACGTGTCGAGCTGAAAACCCATGGCTAAACCGTTCCACTGCTCCGTACAATGTGCTCGAAGAATCATGGATAATAAATGTTGTCTGTAAGTGAAGAACAAGACTGAAAACCTTTTTTCACAGTTGGTTATGTTGACCGCGGCTTGTTGCTTGCTTAATTTTGCAATTAAAAATTTTTGCAGATGAGCAGAATTTCGCATTTCCGCTATTATGCATATGAACAACAATTTACAAAAATGGCTATTTTCACTAATTTTATGTAGTGTTACAGTTGAAAAACTTTTGCTTTCTAAACTTTGTTCGAATTTAGCAAATTAGAATAGTCCGATATAAGTATGTTGTGTATTTTATTTGGATACGACGCAATATATTTCAGCCTTTTCTATTGTTACCCTTTCTTTGTTGTAGTTTTCTTCAATAATACGAAGTTTGGCATTCATCTCATGCATGCGTATTTGTTGAATAGCAAATCAAATTGTCCTCCAACATCAACATTTATTTTACTTTGTATGCATTTGCTATTCTCGGGTATAAATGGTGATATTCAGTGGCGAAGGAGGGGGATATACAGAGTGGAATAATGAGCATTTAGATTTCCCCTCATCTTTTCACTGGGAATTCACAATTTTATGATCCATGCCCATAATACATATGCAATAATGGGTTAAATCTTAGGAAATCCTTAGTAAACAGAACCAAACCTGCGTCAAACTGTGTAGCAGACTCGTATGTACATTTACTGAAAATCTCAACTGTTCGAGCATACATTGTCCTACAAGATGTGATTTGCTTCAATTTCGTGATTTCCTACTACTTTCTAGTTTTGCAAGAGATCTCTCTTTTTCCTCGTATTCCAAAGAGCGGTATTTACTCGTTGCTTCACGAGAGGAAATCACGTTTTGCATACCATTGGGGAACGGCGGAGGGTGAATGTCGTAATATTAAGATTTTGTTGGTTTTGATTTCTCCTGGAGAGGGAAAGAGAATCGGCATTATGTTGTGTGTCTTGGGAGTTCATGACTTAACAGGTTGTTAGTTGATGTTGATGGAACATAGCAGCAGATCAAGGACTGCTCTCTCTCTTCAACATTATCTGCCTTCACTTTGTATGGGTTCCAGCCATAGCCAACTCATCCTCTTGAAGCAGCTTCCCCCTATTTTCACAGACTAACTAAGCCAGCCAGATGTAACATTATACCCACCCAACCACCCAACAAAGCTGGAATCAAAGATACTCTTTTACTTCACAACTTGAAGATTCTCATTGTAGTTGGATTTCATCGATAAAAGGAACGGAAAGGAGATCAAACATCGAAATGAAAATCACGTACAGATGCTCCCAATGAAGAGAAAAAGGTTTCCTCTCTCCAAACAAAATCTTATTTGTTGGGATGTCTATGAAAAAACAAGCCAAGAAATTTAGCTTGACAACAGATAATGAAAGACAACAAGACGAACGAAAGGGTAATGCGTCCATCTATCCCGGCTTGTGTTATACATACAAATCATCAGTGCTGCTCTTCCTGACCCAACCCGGCTCGGCTTGCCTCGTCTGATTCCTTGGTAATAAAAACAAGAACACAACGTGCACATTTCATCTAACTCAATGTGACTTTCAAAAGAAATTGGAACCAATGGGTTATCACAGGAAAATCATTGTCAAACCCCCGTTTGTAATTGTTTTTTTTACAGCAACATAGTAACCAACTCTACTGTTGTCATTAGTTGTCCATCCTCCCTTATTCGTGGTCCTATCAAGTCCTACCTGGTGCTAAACTTCACTTTAAAGCTATTTTATAAATCGAACTATCCATAGTAGTACGCACCTGACTTTCTCTTGGTATTTTCAACCTGAGTTTTTCATATAAAACTACTAAAGGCAGAGGGAACGTCCAAGTATTACGCACGACATGAGAAATCATTAGGAAAAACATGGTATATCTAACACGAGGAGTAAAAAAATGCCTGCCTGACTAAATTGATGACGAACTACCAGAACAGTCCCAAAGATCATGAAGCCAATATCCAAACTCCACAATCAGTGGTTTAAAATCAATGTCTATGGTCATAAGGTGTGTCTACTGTGGGGTTCATTCGAGAATAAGAGAGAGAGAGACGCGTTTTTTGTCTTTCTTGTCCAAGTACCATGTTGATTTTGCTTGCTTCACCGAGTTGTGTACTTGACTGATTTTTCTTTGCTTTCGTAGCTTAATCTCCGGAGAAGAGCCTGCTGCTTATTCTCCATTCTTATGTTTCTGAACGCATCCTTGCCTGCCTTCTGAAGCTTGAAGCACTTGTAACTGTCTCACACGGGTTTTCTTTCTTGGATTTTCTAGATTTACCTGAAGTGAAGTTATCATTAGGGAGTACTTTGAACCCCCAATTTGTTAAAGAAGGTACAGATCTGTATTTTGAATGTCACATACGAGCCTCCCCACCTTACACTCGAATAAGGTGGTTCTTCCAGGTACGTTTTATCCAAACCACTTCTCCTCATATCATTAATCCGTCCCTGTATCTGGTTAGCACACGATGAGAGAGCAAGCATTGCCTCACCATCGAAATTTCAAGCAGCGGTTGTTAACGTTAACGTGATCAAACGAGAGGAAGAGCTGAATGATTTTATCTTGTAAAAATTTATGTGTGGTTGAAAGCACAAGCCAACTTCTTCACCCAACTCGTTTGGCAATTAGCCGAGTGTAAATAATGAATTGAAGAGACGAGAGATCCAAGAATTTTAAGACAAACTACTTTCGCTCTCTTCGCTCGTGAAACAATTTTTTCCTTTCTTTTTTTGGCGTGTGTGTGTGATTCAATCTTTAGTGTGAAGTTAGACATGAGCAGGAATGGCTTTATATACGAATGGCTCTGCATCCGTCCATATCTCCCTAATCTACAAAGTTACATAACTACTTATGTGCAGTACAACCTGGAAAAATAAATTCTTTTTTAAGAGTAGGGTGCATTCAGTCATAAAAATATTGCCATGTAAATTAGACATTACCATAAAGAGTAAACATTTCATGTCAAATACACCACTGGATACGAACAACACGGGCATTGGTGTACGTACATATGTATGCAGCCTCTTTCATAAAAAGTGAAACAATAACTGGTGGGAAGAAAGGGACAGCGGAAACTTGGCTACAATTACAAATGACTTATTTCTCCACCACGTAGTAAAAAACAAGTGAGAATTTTCATCATGCAACATGCAAGAAAATGCAGAATCCTCCATTGAAGTGAGTGCCTATTAATAATCCAGCAACCAGGGATGCAATGCATGATGGGGCGAAGAAAAGAAAGCAAGCAGGCGAAGAACAAGTGCTTCCGACTGCAGTTTATGTAATAACCAGAAAGAAGCATGGCTAATTTCATTGTGCACCTGCATTTGTCATTAGAGAAAGTTTATAGAACATCCATTATTTCATTTTAGTTTTATTTTATGACAAGGAGGGATTACTTTCAATAGGCGGCAGAAGCTGAATAAGGCCTCTTTTCCTCCAACACTTGGACTCCACGGGAGAGGTAATGAGTCACTGCTCTACTGCTGCTCAGCTAGCTTGGCTTCCATCCTCGCAAAGTTTAACTACTCCTGTAGTTGGGGAAGATCGATGTTTGCAGAAGGGAGAAAGTACTCTATTACACACGCAGGAAAAGGCGTCGAAGCGGAGACAAGGCAGAAGACTATGGGAGTTGGCAGTTAGGAGTTGGGGATCTTGTTCACTGCTTAAAAATCGGCTAAGCAGTTAAGCCCCACTCTTTTATGGGGTAATTAACGGATGAGATGAATATAAGAGTCTGGTTGTGTGAAACTATTAAATATTTAAGACTTTCCTCCCATTTCATTACTGACCAAGTTCTCTACTCGCTCTCTTTTTGTAGTCATTCTCGCTGTGAGGTTCTGCTTTGAGCGAGATTGAGTCACTGTTAGTTATCACAGTGAGTCAAAAGTTTGAGAAAATGATGCAATGATATATATCTTAGATACGCACACATATGTAAATATCTTTTGCACACAACCAAGCATACATAGGTCGGCAGGGATACGAAAAATCTGACAAAGACGGTGATTTTACCGAACTATGGAACTACCAAGTCGTTCTTTATACCACTTTACGTATGTACTTCTTAGCATGGAATTTCTCTGATCTACTTTTTAGTCCTTTCTCAATCGTCTTAGAACTGTCCACAAATCCGGCCATTCTCAAACTCAAGTCTACAATTCCTTAGTACGACATTTATACCAAGGAAACCAGATCACGAATAGCTCGCTTGCTTCGCCTAGTGATGTGGCTGTCTTCAAAATCTGGAAGCATTTTCGCATCGCATCGCAACTTTCTCTCAGAGTAATCTTGATTCCTAGGAAATCACAATATATATCTATCTAGCTAAACCTATGAAATATTATCCGTACTTACAGCGCCTTACGATATTCGTCTGCCTTGCTCCAGCACTGCGGATCCGCTACCTGCAAAATCCCACGATGCCTCGCAACCTGTTTAGCTGATCCAGGTCACCAGTAGCATCAGTTGCAGTATCAAGTGGTTTCTTTTCTCTAGTAACATTAGAAGACGATCAGACTGAGGGAATAAAGTAGAGAGGATACTAGGACAAGACTCACATGTAGTAAAAAAGATTGAGCGACGGATCTCTGCGTATGATCTGTGCGTATGTACCTATTGAGAATATAGACATTTTTTTAATGTTGGTGTGTGAGAGGTTGGCGGTTTCCATTTCCTGCTCAATTTTTGGTCGACTGTGTGGTATTTGACGGAAATCGGTTGAGTGCATTGGTGCAGGACTAACGCGTTGTTGCTGCTGCTGTGCTTATTGTCTATTTCTTCCTCCTCTCCTTGTGGGGAGGCGAGAGGGAGAGGGAGAAAGCAGGTGGAATGGAAATGGCGAGCGAATATACGACATGTATATTTCTGCTCAAGAGATGACTCAAACACAGAGAGCAGTAAAAACCACCCAGGAAGGAGCTGGATCCGAAATGTCTGTTTAGAAGGCCAAAAACGCGAGGTAGCTGGCTATATAAGTTTGCTAAAAGCGTGTCAGAAATGAATCCTGCTTTCTCTCATTTTCTACGTGTATTGCATTATTACGAGGATTTCTTCCTACCCAAGTTTCAAAAATAAAAGTCCAACTGCCTTCTCCACCACTCACTCACCCAATTCTTTTCACTGGTACGAAACTTTACTAACGCGCTGGTAAATGGTGAGCATTATAAAAAGTGTACCACAACTAGCAGTTCCCTGTAGTAAGTATATTGTGCCAGTTTTTGAACACATATTGATTTCGGGTGTAGTAACAAATTGTATCGTTGACCTGCTTCCTCCGATGGGAAAGGAAAAGTCAAATATTTAATTAAATCTCGATTCGATACAGAAATAAGAATGGAACGGAATCACGGGGAAAGTTTCAAAGTTTCGACACAGGTTATTATACTGCAGTGTAAGATGTTTAACAAGGGTGAATAAATCAAGAACAGGAAAGGAAGGCGAGGTGTAACGGACGATTGCCATTAATAATGTAGCCAATTAGGGTGAGATCATCTCAGAGCACATTGATGAAACTCGCAAAAGGCTCACGGATGTAGATCAAACAGAATTTTATATCAACGGGCTCTTCTTGGCCGGAGAAGGAGGGAGTAGTGCAGTAGTGGTTTGAGTGATAATTAAAAGGCTTCCTCTCTCTCTCTCTCAGGTCGACTGGTGCGTATTTCTCGCTTTCTCTGAGGATGCACCGTCAGTCACTCTCTTTTCCTTTCCATTTAATTTTCTCCGCCTTCAAGAATGATATCATATTCTAAGCCGGTACTTCCACCTCTCACTTACTTATTTCCTCGTCGTTTGAATCTTGACTTGATTATTGGGTGGAAAGTGGGGAAAGAGACGAGTTGCTCTTATTTGGACAAAGAATGCAAAATTATCTGTTGAGTAGGAAGCATCACTTTAATGCGTCTAGTGTTTTGTGATGCAGAGTGATCGTAATAGTTAAGCTTTTTGTTTCCTAGTTAAGTGATTAAATGCTTGACAACGCAAAAGCTGATAAGAGTCATTCCAATTAAAACGAGATTAGCCTGAAAACGTAAGTGAACATCAGACTTTCGACGACGAAAGTTGGGGAAAATTTTTCTGTATAAAAGTTGAGACAGTTGGTTGAGAGTTGAGTTGTTGAGACTTGAGATACATACATCGTACGTATGTGCATTTAAAACGGAGGAGGTAAGTGTATTCAATGTACAATATGCTTGCTTTGCAACCTGGCGGAGCTCTTGTACGTCTTTTTACTCCAGAGAAAGTTCTTCCAGCGAGTACGGGTGGAAGAGAAGATTTATAAAATATATTGTGATTACTCGAAAACTAGGAAGCACTAAGTAAAGTTTGACAGCAGATGAAACGGAATCTGAATTTATATGAGAGACTAATCTAAATCATGCATGGAATATAAAATTTAGATAACACCATAATGCGCCAAATGGATGTCGGTTGTGAATGTATCCAAGTGCCTTCTGTTCATAATTTTGCCTTGTCTTTTCTACATTAATGTAAAACATGACTACGTTCCTGAATTAGCACAAAGAGATTTAATGCCCCCATTGCAACAGCGTCAAATAATAACTCAAGACCCCCCCCCTCCCCCCACACACATATACACACGCACACATGTACGAAACTTATCGCAAAATCGTAATCTCCTTCCACGATATATACGACAGCAATATAATGTGGTTTTATTTTCTGAATTTTAATGTTCATGGAGATACGTATACTTACTTATGTACCATAGTGCAGTTGTCTATTCATGCATAATGTGCGTTCATATTTTGCATGACTAATTTTGCTAATGTGGAATTGATCAATGGTCCAGTGGTGAATAAGTATCGCTATAAATCTGTATAAAGTTTGGTTAGGCCGAGTAATAAAGTAAAAACCATTTTGATCGAATATTTTATGCACTCCTGCCTAGAAACCTACATCATATTACAAAAACATGTGCAAATAATCTGTTTGTTGCTGCTACCATTGGAAAGATATGCTAACTGGAAGGGACACCCAAGTTCCGTTGCCCCCACGAGAAGAGAAAGATGTGGCTGGACTTATATTGGCACTTGAACTTTGGCAAGAAAAGCAGGCATGGTGGCAGAGTCTCATGAAAAGGTGTTTTACTCCTCACTTGGCTCAGCCTTTGAGTCGAGGAGTGAACAAATTGTCTCAAAGGAAACGTGTCTTTCATTTATTTTGTTAATAACGATGCCGACTAAGCTAAGCAGCAAAAGTGCGGAGGAGAAGATCGATTTCGTGTCAAATTAAACTTTGTTGTACATTGTGTCCCACCGTTTCACTGGTTCTTTCCTTGATAACTTCTAAACTTGCTCCAAACTATAAGTTTAGTCCTCACGTCGCCAGTCTTGCTCAAATAAAGGAATAATATGCTCTAATAATATGAAACTAAAGATAGTTTACCAAAGTTAACTACACCACACCAGTCAACTTGTTTCGTCTTTGGGCAAAGTTATCTTATGTATGTAGCCCTTTATTGTTCTTGCTGTTTGGGAAAACTATCTCAAACTGGTGGGTGGTTCGTTGCAATGTGTGACATTAAGTATTCTGATTGTGTCCCTTGCCACTCACTCCATGTGTTTGTGCCACAATGATGGCCGAGGATGATACTGATCTACAACACATGCTCCCGTTGGTTTTGAAAAATAATAAAGTGAAGATGCTCGGATAAATAAATTTCAAAACATTTTTTTTCATCGTGTTGCAGGAAGATGAGCTGAAACACACGCCGACGGCTGGAATAATCATGAGCAATCAAAGCCTCGTTCTTCAAGGCATCACTCGAACTGCACGAGGAAACTATACATGTCAGGTAAGTAATGGATCTGCACATTATACGATCAATACACGTGTACCAGAAAAAATTGATACAATATCACCATCAGAGTAGCCAATATTAATAATAAATCCTACTCAATTCTTTTCAACCGTTAAGAAAACATACATAATCGCCATGATATTTAAAATATTGCAGGCATCCAATATGGTCGGGACAACTGTCAGCAATATATTCCCGCTTGATGTCCAATGTAAGCATTTATTTATATTGCTTTGATTTTGGGAATTGTGATCACACATGATGTTTAGCATAAGCAGTCCATAAGAAGTAGAAAGCTAAATAGTAAAGTAATACGCAAAGTACTTATTCCCATCTGGAAGTTTGGACAAAAAATTTCGAACTTAGTATGGTTTTAAATACCTGAAGTTCGATTTTTTTTGTCAAAACTTCCAGATGCGATATCTAGAGCATCCCACCCGATTCCAAGAAACCCTCATAGGCGTATGTAGTACTCGATGGGATGAGTCAAACCCCCACAAATACATTTGCCCATGTCTGCCCGTTAGGCTATGGGGTGTGGTCGAAACAGCCCCAGAACGCCTGTTTTATGACCTTCAAATGCATGAACCAGCCAAACCTTGAGGGCTAAAATTCTGAAATTTGGCAGGTAACATCAACGATAGTTGCTTAACACTATTCTGGGGTCAGTCTCAACTTCCCCCAACAGGGGGGTGGTTCGCCCCCCAGGGGGTGTGACCTCACAAAAACCATTATGCACATTCCTTGGGTCACCCTGGTCAAGAATATATATATATGATAGGATTTGCTCCTTGCAAATTTTGAACAAAAAAATTGCCGTTTTGGAGTCCGTGTTCCGAGTCTTAAAACATGGGTTTCTAATATGCTTATGCATGGTGAAAATGCGTGAAGAGTTATTTATTTTATGAGCAAACATTGTATTCAATCACTGCCAGTGACGGACAGAGGGTCCCAACCAAAAGTGAAATAAAACTGACCAAATAACACGCGTGGTTTCACACACAGCCCAACTTCTCGCCGCACGAGATAGCATGAGTAAATGAAACAAATCTTAGGATTCTTTAATTTACAATCCAATTTAAAGAATTTCCTCCCCGTTGAGAAAAACTGGTAATTTGTGAGGTGGGCGTGTCCACTAAATCTGCTTGATCGACAGGCCGGCCTTAACCCTGGCGAGAATCAATATCGCATTTCCCTCCTCCTACGTATAATATTGTACCCAAAAGTTTTCAGAGGAAGCGAGGAACACGGGAATAAAATTGACATGAATCACAACACCTTTTCTCTGTAATTGAAAATCTACACGGCTTTCTCTTCCATGGTAAATATACTCATAGGTACGAACGAAGGTATATATTGTAGATTAAGGTATGCAGCCAATTGCACATGTACACACTTTCTTGACTAAACGTATTGGTCTGAAGCCACTCTGCGTGTAACACAGAAATAAAATGTTTGACCGGCTCTAAATCCTGGTTATGGGAAGAAGATTACGAAATGCGCTGAAGGCGAGTGAAAGCAGTCCCGTTTGTATGAGTAGATGGTGGGGAAACCAATTTCCTCCGGCATTATTAAATGCACAAGTGCTCTGCATAAATGTGTAGAAACGTGGACTGAAGCAGTGTTTAAAATTGTAATAAAGTTCAACTTTATATTTATATGAAAAATCTTAAATTACTTACTGGCTACCCGTGGCTTGGGTGGAGTATTACGGAGAAGCTCTAGTCACTCTCTGCTTCTCTTTCACATACATTCGTGCGAATATGTGGTATGGCATGCAAATCGGGATCCTCACCAAGTCGTGTCCCATATAACCCTGCTACGTATCTACTATGAAGCATAGTGAGTGCCATAAATTACCCCACGTGAAATTACTTTGAGAGCTCTTAGCTCCTAAATAGAATATTATTACATTACACTCATTCATCCGACGGACTAAAGAGTTCAGAGCCAACGCCATGCAGGGTGAAAGTCGCATGTATGTAGGAACAGCAGCAGCAACACTGCGAACATGGTCTAATGTAATGAACTAGAGAGTGCTTTGCTGGATTTGCCCTGAGTGAAAGAGCAGAGAGTGAACAGGCCTGGTTTCGGTTAGCCGAACTGTCTCAATGAATTAAGATTGAGTAATTTAACAACTTTACCATTAAAAATTAGGTTATTCAAAGTAAAACCTCGAGACATTTTGCATACTCTTGTAGCACATTCAACAACAAGTTTACGTATTGGTCGTGATCAGAGTGTTAATGCGATATCGGGGCTGACGGCGACTTGGAGTAATTTATGTACCTACCTACTTACACATGTATCATAGATATCCTGGAGATTAAAATCAGTTTTTTATAGTCCCATTCTCCCTCCTTTTCAAGCCCACATAATTTATGTAACGTCGAACAGGCAAAGAAGGTCGTCACTTGAGATTTACTTTTGCCTCATTTCAAACATGTAAAAAATAAATACAACTCGGAGCTATGTCCTGTTCCATGTTATCGTGCAGTGTACATACACCAACACAACATGCTTTCCAGATTACTGACACATTTTCACATTTATTTTTTTACTTTTACTTCAGAATCAAAGTTTGCTTTTAAAACTGTGTGTTAAGAAGTCCTGCATAAAGAGCGGAAGCTGGTGATGTATGACACAAACAGGGAACACACATTCTTACTTAGCGTTCGTGACATTTTGTCCCAAGAGCGCCTTCTTCATTTCGCAAGTTCCCACTTTCTTCTCCTTTTCATTCAGGGTTTCGCTATCACTTCCAGTTTCCGCTAGAAATTAGCTGCAATGAATGAACACTAAATTACAATTCAAGCTGAGCATACTTTTGTGTAGCAGAGCGGAATACCATATTGACTGCGACTTTAATGGACTTGTGTATATTCATTATTCGTGAGGAAGACTTCTAAAAAATATGGAATCTTATGTCATAAAATTAAATAACTTCCAGCTCTAAAAGAATTGATTATTCTTGCAAAGGAAGAGGAGAAGGTACATATTTCTTCAGGGGCAGTGTGCATACTTCTGACTTCCGGCAATACAGAAAAAGTGATTCTAAATAAATTATTACTTATGATTAATAATGCATATAATTAATGCACTGCATGCAAACACATAGGCGTCTTGCTGTCAAAATGTTCCTGTATAATCTTTACTTTGTCGAAATGGATCACATTATGCAGCCGTGCACGCATATACTTCTCGTGGGAACAGCAGGGGACCTAAAATATCACAGGATATCGCGATGATTCACAATTTTAATAAAGTGCGGCGACATATATATAAAGCTTCCAAACTACAAATTGCTTTGCCTTCCGAGTCTAAATAATGGCTTGAGAAGTGTTGCCGTGAGGCTTTACTTTAGCATGACGATGAGGGAAATGGAGGAAATAGCTATTTTCTCTTCAATTTGAGCTTCCCTGTGAAATCTCTCATTTGCTTAACTCAACCCCCATCTACACCACCACCACCACCACACGAGCCGCAGTGAAAGGAGCGGAGAAGATAAGCTTTATTTAGTGAAGAGGGAAAAGCGTCGTTAGGAAATTTCGAGTTGATATAAATAAATGTATCCTTGATTACAGGATAAAGGAGTGTAAGCATGTATTTATGTTTATGATGATGTGATGTGACTTGGCTGGATGGGGCTTTGTTTGTTATGAGATTGGTACTCGAACCCTCCCTGCCAGACCACCACTGGGACCATCACTTTCACCGACTGCACAACAGCAGTGCAGCCGCTTCCCCGGTTTCCACTGCCCACATTTTCTTCCAAAGATCTGCAAACACTAGCCGTGTAAAATGTGTGTCTTGAACAATAATGGGCAAAACAACTGTGTATAAAAATTCCTATTATATCTGTTCGCATTGCATAGGTTAGAATGATGATAAGTTGATAGAGAGAAAGTACAATACAACGGTAAAATACATATGTTTTTGCGTATGCATCTTAAAATTAGTTGTAATGCCATTGTAGTGGCTAAAGTTTGGCAAATTGAATTTGCAAAGTCGCATCTTAGATATATTGTTGATCGTACAAGTCGAAACCGCGACGCTTTGAGTGGCCTTATTTTACAACGTCGAAGCGAATGAATTTAGCCAGGCAAATGGGAACTGAAACAGTTGGTTTTGAGAGGGAAGGGAGACATGGAGAGAGAAATAGCGACTTTAAAATGGTCTTGGGACAACGAGCCCGACCAAAGTTGTGGGATGAAAGTAAACCGGTTTTGTCTTTTGGTGGAATGCCTTTGATCCGTGTTCCATCATGTCCATCCGCTCAAAAGTTTGATGCTAAACGCTCAACTTCAACGTTACTACTGCTACTACGGGTAGACGGCTCAGTGTTATGAACCCTGAAATACCTACATTTTATGCAAATGATCCCGTCATGGGAATCAAACTATGGAATATTCGGTGTAGAAAGTATGCTTTCTCCTCTCCCTTCGTAAATTACCCCACGACCGTAAAACCGTTCTCCATAGACTGAAATATACTTCCTTATTTTAAATGAAAATACACTGATGCTCAACTTGTACACTTTCTTGTCAAAGCGTGTCCATGTTCACCTCATTTGTAAATTTCACTTATGGTTTCATGATTTCATTTACGAGTCGATATGTAATGCCAACTATAGTAAATAAGTAAATAAATATTCACAAAATATTCGAATATTACAGATGCCCCAGTGTGCAAGTCAGAAATGGGTGTGACGGTGGGTGCGGTGAAAGGGGAGCATATCGGACTGAGATGTGGGTAAGTACATAGAACAATGAAATGATGATACAAAAATATCGTCTAATCCTAAGTTTACCTCAATAAAAAATGGAATTTTTTTCACAGGGTGGATGCCAGTCCTGTTGCCTTAAGGTTTGTACATATATGTGTTTCTACGTTCATATTTGTTGCAAATTATAAAATTACAACAAAACATTAAATCGGGGTTTAGTATTTTCCCGTCATTTGGGTAAATATGTCAAATTAGTGAGAATTGAGGCAGAAAAATTGTCGTACTATAATTCCTGATTAATGTTAAGTACATTTGTTTAAAACCATTTAATTAGGTACGAAATTCCAATAATGTAAATATGTTCTGATTCATTAAACAAACCTTGAAAACTTATAACATGCTCATGTCCTTGACTGACGATGAGTTTTATGCGTATGAAGATATAAAAATGTAATTTTGATGGGACAATTTCAGGTTCGAGTGGGAATTTCACGGCGCGGGCGAATCTGTGGACGTAGTTCCGGCCGGACGAGCGGTGTCACAAGGCGACCTATCCAGATTTCTATACTCTCCAACCCACGATTCCGAATTTGGGACTTTTCTATGCTGGGCTACTAATGACATTGGTCGACAAGTCCAGCCCTGTCTGTTCCACGTTGTCGCTGCTGGTATATTTTTATCCTTGATCTTACACCTTATTTATTTTCATATATGCAACACCAACGATCACTCATATAAAAGAAAAGAGAAAGTGGCAAAATGACTCAACTTTCTCTTTGTTTTTGTCACTTCTTTCATGAGAACAATATGCTGTTTTGCTGCGGAATAACTTTTTTGTTTTTCGTTGGACTGACAAATCAGACCATTCTGCACAGAAAACCTACCGAGAATGTACCGCCACATATGTTGCTTTAATACTTTACTGCCCCCACAAGTTGGACAAAGACAAACTCAACTCATTCATATTTTGACCAAGGTTTGATCACATTTATATAACTCTGGACAAGATCAAAACTGACAACATGTCCAACGAAAATTGATATATAGAGAGGCAATAAATGTCCCCTTTACCGCAGACTGACCACATTCCTTTTATTCTATAAATAAGTACAAAATGTCACGTCAATACGGTTTACCGCAACAATTTTTATTTCTTTTTAATGTCAGCATGATAAACAATGGTATTTTCAGTCTTACCTGTCACATGCGTACATACACATTAAAAGAGCAAACGATATTTCTGTTTTTGATAACTACTCAAAATTTATTTATTTATTTACTTTAAAAATTTTCTCTTACTTTCTACTCGACACCTTTCAACAGGCATAAAAGCATTTAAGATAAAGTATTTTCAATTGCTCTGAAATGTTGAAACAGCAAAAATTTCATCTCTGGGGATTTAGTTCAAATTAGGAATAAATTTATCATGTATTCACGATTACTTTGCTCGTTTAATTCACTTTTCCTGTCTGCTCCATTTTCAAGCGATAAGCATTTACTGACCATAAGTACTGACCCTCCGCAGAATAAATACTAATGCGCTCGGATGTCCTTTCTCTCCTATTTCACCTCGCCGTGTGGTGTGTCTTGTTGACAATAATTATTATTCCTGCCTTCCCTTCAACATCCACAAACAACTGCCAGCACAACAACAAAGCCATTTGTGCATGTGTGTGTCTGGTGTCCAGCTCTTTAGCAGAATGAATGTTGACTAGATTGGTTGGAGACCTGTCTATTCTCCAGGGCATTAGCTGCAGATTGGAGAGAATGCATTCAGTTAACCACACAGCTTCCGCTACTTGTCCGTCTAAACCTCCACTGTGGAAATTCGAAACTACTTTAGCTTCATCCTTGTAATCACTTTCTGTACACTGGACGACTGGACCCTGTTTAGAGGAGAGTTTCATGAGCTGGCTGCCAGCTTGACAGGAGACAGGACAAATGACGGGAGCCTATTTATATATTGAAATCCTTGGTCAGTTGAAGTACAGCAGCGTGCTTCATCATGTGGGAAAGTGAATAATGGATCGAGGGACCCACACATTAGTCACCTCCTCTTTCTACCTTTATTCATCATCAATCAGTCTCCTTCCAACACGCCACACACACAATGTCTTAAAACCATTTCTTCCATCAACTGTCAAATCCACTGACCGATGTGCTGACCTGTGAACTCGCCAGTCCTTCACCCATCGTCCTTTATGCTCATACTCGTTTTTACAATCAGATTTGTGGCCTGATTGCTTGATTAAGCGACCATTTTTCCTTTAAATTTTCAACATCAATCCAAAAGTGAAGTCTTGCGTAATATGTACTCGTATACAGGAGTGTTGTACATGGAAGAAATTTCTGCACTAGTTACATTCTGGGAGCCAGTTGAGTGACATAAAAGAGGATTTCCTTCATTTCCCTCGTTGATTTAATGTCAGTCAACAAGGCTTTGTTCGAGTTGGCTGATTTGACACACGACACGCAAATAATCAACTTTAGTTAATTAATTTTTGCAAGCCTTATTACGCTCTTGTTTAGCTCTCCTCCTCTTCGTGGTAGCTAATATCTCGTACATACACGCGTAACTGATGAGGTAACGAGCAAGTTGTTGTAGAGTGCATACTAAATGGAAAGTTGGATATGAGTGGTTCTAATTAGTATCCATTCCCTACTTTCTCCGCCCTGTCGTTTCATATCTGAACAGACAAAGTGCACGGGACAGTTAATTCCTCTCCTTCTGGGCAGACGACAGAGTAAAACTAGGACAGAGAAATCACGCGAAAGTCGTCAACCCGTATCTTTCTACCCGACCCTTTGCGCGTTGTTGTGTTTTTATAACCAGTTTGACGACCTAACCCTTACAAAGTCTAATCTTAAGATGACAGTTAACAGGAGGGCAAAAGTCTTGACGTTTGACATGCAACAGCACATTGTCTCTAGCACAATACACATCCATCGAATGGCGTGTTGGAGCTGCTGGATGGATGGATAGATAGTTTCTACTTTATGTTTTTTCTTCTCTAGATTAGATGTGCTATTCTAACTTGGCATGTTATTGAAATGGAAAAATTGTGTTGTTTTTAGTAAAACCTCATCCTCTGGAAAACTGCACCGTCGTGAATCAAACGACAACAATAATACACATCGAATGCAGTGCGCATCGCGAGCTTCCACAAATTCCGGATCAACCCTTGTTCCGAATTATGCACGGGGACACTGATGCATCACAGCCCAACCAAGATCCTGCTCAATATGGTCTTTTTCCAGAGTATTACGTAATGGAAGTCTGGGATCTGAAAAACCGCTCCATCCGCAAAAATCTTAGTGCGGAAACTCCAGTGTTCATGTAAGTCGTACGACAGGTTGGGGTTGACGATGTAACAATAACCACCTGGGAAATTTACGAATGCATTTATTTCCTATTTCATTTTTGAAACTTGACTCACTCTGTTGTTCGTCCCCTTAAAATAGTCTCAAAGGACTTGCTCCAGGATCCCTGTTGAGGCTGGTGCTGTATGCCGCAAATTCTCATGGTAAATCGGAACCCCACGTCATTGAAGCAATTGTCGCAGGGGATGCAGAAAAGCATATGCTGGGTAAGTAAATGAATATTCGGTATAGGTTTTAGATATGTAGATATGCATGGCTTAAAGTGGGCCAAACGTTACGAGCAAGTAGCCCAATGTTGCGTAATTTCCAAGAATTTTGTTCAATCAAGATCCAATTTTGAAAATTGATTTGCCATGAACGGCATAGAATTTCCAAGCATCTGTGGATAATTCCTTCACATTGTTATCCTTCTGGAAGGTTCTTCTCCTAATGGGAGGTTGGCACCATGAAATGAATGGAATTAGAAAGTTTGAATTTATGATCGAATGAGAGACAAACTTGGATGAAAATAGAGCAAGCGAAGCCAAGATGGGAACAGATCTAAATAGTTGAGCATCACTTTGAGTGCTGAAGGGCTGCCTTAAGGACTTTCAATTCCCTCCACCAAACACTATGTGCAGCCAAACCACGAGCAGTAGTCACCTCCTCCTCCTCTTCCTCCGCTCTCTCAAAGGTATATCCCAATGCCTGCTGCGATTCTTCTTTCCTCGTGTCTTGCCAAATAAATGGAAATGAAATGGGTCGGACAGGGAGTGAAAGTAGAAGAAAAGAGAGTGAAAGTTTCAGGAGAAAGTCATCATCAGGAATTGGACAAAATATATATATCTTGTGGAGAAGACAGGGAAATGACTCTCTTTATTCATTAACATGGGTAGACCACGTTATAAATTTGTGTTTTTCTCTAGCCAAAGAAACATTTTCACCAGTCTAGGAGGAGACTTACCGAGAGGATTTCCCATCCAATTCCATGTCATGATTTCCTTCCCATGCCAAGCCACCAAACAGCCGCTGAAAGACATAGTTGCTATATTATAGATGGCTAGATAGATAACGGTGGTGGTCCTGGCGTCCCATCTCATGACACCCTCGTGATTATTTCTTTCTTGCGTCCCCATTTCCAGGCCTTTGTTTTTCTCGCCATTCCTCCCGTGGTCGTGGGGGCGAGGAGCGAGGAGCAGTGTGGAAAAGAGAAAACAGAAGTAAAGCCTCTGATGATATTATTACCAAGTAAATTCCATCACCAAATGTCTTGTAACAAATAATCAAAACTCGGAGTTTGTAGACGCAAGAAATGCCGAGTTAAATAATGGCTTCGTAAAAAGGGTCTGGAAACTCTTTTCTCTGAATATTGCCCTCTCTCAAAATTTTCTGGATATTAACATGCAAATTCAAATATTAAAAACATCTGCGGCTTACTATGAGTATTACTATTATTGTTATTACTTGATCGTCTATTTCACTTGCTCCATAAGCCATATTATTTATGGTACAAACTAAGTATGTATCTACATTCTGCTTGGTGTAGTGTAGGAATGTAGATACATATATACAAATACTTTGTATGTAATTTTCCCCAGGTGCAGAATGAAACAAGAATTAGTTTTTATTCCCATTTTTGATACATTCATAAAAAAGCCGCAACATTTGTCACATTGTTTTTTTGTGATTTTGACATGGCGTGCTTTATTATGCGGACAATTGTCTCAAATTAAAAAACGTTGGTCGACCGACCTCTTTCTTTGGATAATTAATGCACCAGTTTCTTTCCGACTCTGAAGTAATTACTCGCTCTCATCGCATTTGAACAATGTCTGCTAATTCAAACATTAGAACTCTCCAACCCCTTTAATGTTTACTCATTTCCCACTAACAATTAGTTTAGTTGTTTGCTTCTTCACGATTCATTACTTTAAATTACTTAAAAGAGTCGAGGCTGGATAATTGTTAGCGTGAGTTGCGAGCCCAAGTCGCCGCAGAGTCGTGTTTCGCCTTGTTTGCATAAAATTAAAGCATTATACGTACTGCTGCGAGGTTCGAGAGGAGAAAAGTTCTGGGCCAACCAAATTCATGCATGGCCAACAACCCACACACTTACCCCTGTGGATTACGGCCTCCACGAGTAATGAGCCCTCTCCCATTTAAAATGTATAATACCAGCAAACCACTCACTCACTTTGCAAAAATGTGAACCCGTCACACTCCCACTCGGCGCTGTGGTATGTGATACAAAGGAGGACGTTCCGTGGCTGTTGCATTAGGCAAAGTATACTAACTGGCGATTTTTCATGTATTTCCGTCTCCTCGTTTTAAACCTTGTTCAAAAAATTTCTCTGGGGATGCGAAAAGCTTATTAAGTTAAGCTGGAGAAAGCCTTTCCTTTTCATGCACAAAAACAAGTACAAGCACGTCTAATCTGCAGACCAAATCAAGTGAAAGTTGAGCCCAAAAGTGAGGAGGAAGAAAAGTCGTGCCGAATCAAGCCAACTTGCTTAAGTAATTTTAGATTCCTCTTCTTCTACGCCTTCTCCAGTCGTACCCTCGACTGTACTTTGCTTGTTGATCTCTCCATTTTATTTGCAGACATGAACTACATGAACTTCCGCCATCATTAAAGTTACGCTATACTGCATACTGCGACGCTTACTGCCACAGGAGCAACATTGTTTGCGGTAAAGTATTTGAGGGGGTACGTACATACATATGTACGTATGTTGTTGTGTATTGTGGGCATGATGTCTGCTATGATACTCAAGACTCATAATACACTTCTCATAAAACCTCATTATTTCAAGCCTCCTCGACAATCTTGTTTTATGAATCATCAACATCAACATGATTGTACTCTTCAGCCTGCCTCTTAACCTGTATAAGAGCATTAAAATCCACACTGCACAATTATTTTATTGTCGATTAATCCCTCATCACGTCGGAAATCCAATCTTAGCTCGAGAAACGGCATCAACAAAACCAATTGCAGATGAAATTCCTTGAAACCCCGCAACAACGGTAAATAATTATGTCATAAATAATGCCAATGATTTTGAACGACATTTGAAATCGAAATTGCTTGGACTAACGTAACGTTGGAATAGATATGACAGGCGAGTTAGAGGAGGGGAACATGAGACAATGTGAACTTTCCTATTTTCTCTCCACATAAGCAATAAGTAATCAAATTATACGTCTATTCACAATTATACGTGAGAGTATAAAGATGAAATGGCCCATTACCAATATTATTCAGCAGTGCGAGGGAAATCGAGGGTTCTGGAAAGTATGGAGTATTGAAGAAACAGGCAGCAGACTGACACATCACTCCAATTCCAAGCCCCCCTTATCACTTGATAAATCATTGGGTGGATAATGTAGCAGTCCAACAAAACCAGAATAAAATGAGCGATAGAAGTAAAAGTAGTAGTTCGTTGGATTGGATTTTCCCCCGAATCAGCCACAAGCCCACCAAACTTAACTACCACCCATCGCATGGGTGGAAATCCAACTAAACGGATCATTATTGTTGTCAGACAAGGGTGCTGGTGGTGGTGGTTTGATGATATGAGCGAGTGGGATTCCAAATTATGAGAATGTGTGACATGACGTTGAATTTAGAGTTTCAGAGACAGTGAAAGATGAGCTGAAATAAAACTACGTCGTCGAATCTGATTGGAACTTAAGTTGGTCTGGAGAGAGAGTAAATTTAACTGTAAATTATTTGGATTCCCATGCGAGTGAATTGGGATAATTTATTATATGCGGAGAGAAAGCATAATGTAAACGATGATGAGTCGGCAAATCGCTCCATTGTCACTTGATTTTAATAAGCACGACCATTTCGCATTGTGCTAGAGCATCCTGTTCCTCTAACAAATGTACGCTGTTTTGCGAGTGCGTGGTATGAAAAAGTGAGAGACGGGCCACTGATTCACCAGAAAATTGGTTTTGTCTAAAATCAAATTGTATTTGTACGACTCCTCCAGTTTCTTGGGCTTTTTTCTCTTTCTAAGATTGGTGCTGAGGATGAAAAATGAAATGGGGTTTAAAAATCCAACATTTCTTAAAATTGATGTTCCATCTACAATACGTATGTACGCAGCCTGCATTACATAAGTACATACGTGCATGCACGGTATATTTCTAGAGTACTCCGCATGAACGACGAGCATACGCATCATCCTCAATACACAAGGTTTCTCAAGTACATTCGTAGGTTTCTTGCATCCACGCCTTTTTAGGAATTGGAGAACTTTACACACAAATAGTATTCCAATTTAAATTCAGACTCGTTTGTCATGCGAATATTACAAGTGTCTGGTTCAAGAAATGGGAAATAAATTGTCATTTTCTCGTCAGGAAAGCGAGAAAATGGTCTTGAACTTATTTTGTAATTTTCTGGCAGACCTCATTTATTTCCTATCGAAAGGAGTAATTTTCCCCATTACAACTTTATAACTGTGTCATTTAAAAAATAATAATAAACTTTTGTTACCGCTCCGTCATTGTGTTTGAGAAGATTATGTGTGTGTAGTGACTGTATAATATTTCGTAATAAAATAATGTGTCAGATTCATATTTTGGATTTGGTTCGAAGCCGCAGTAATATCCCAGCACCGGCTTTTCATTCCAATTACGCGGAGGCGAGGAGCAGGAGAAAGCGGGAGCAAACAAGGGACGAGGACGACAATGGAGTTTTAGCCTTTGTTAAAGATTTCCCATTAATGCTCGTATATTTCTTATCTGTTCCCAGTCCATAAGCAAGTTTTATAAGCAATGACTCCCCATTGTAGGACTTGGCCAAACTTCCTTATTGCTCCGCTGTGTGTGCAGAGTCATTTATCAAAAAATGAATATCATCTCTTTCTTTTCTCGCAAATCCTCCAATCTCACATCTTCCTTCTGCCTGGCCGACTCTCCCCATTCACACCACGCCACCACCATTATTAGAACTTCCACACGGCGGCATCGCTCAATACGCCTGGCTCCCCGGTACAAAACAAACAATACCAACAATCAAACCCACACAATGAAATGTGCAAGTTCGATTTCTCTACTTCTGCTGGACGAACGAGATAGAGAGAGAGAGCAAGAACCGGTGTGATGTAAAGATATGAATGTAATGTGGACCTCTCATCCATATCTTGCGAGCAAAGGTCGTTCCAATTGCTTTGGTTTCTGGGTAATGGCTTCCTTCCGATGGTCAATAACTTTATGTTGGTTACCATAAAAAATGGACGTAAGGAAACGAGCAAAAATATTTCTGCGAAAATGATTAACTTTCACTTGCTTAGTGTTTCTCACGGGTTAACCCGAACCATTACTATTAACATGGGACCCGAAACCTGAACCCGAAACCCGAATGTTAATAGTAATGGTTCGGGTTAACCCGTGAGAAACACTACACTTGCTTCATCAGTTGCATACGTTTTTTAATAAACTAGTACACGATTGGCATCCTATGAATATGAGGATACGCTTATTTACATAAACACACAGCATACTGGTCACAGCATATTGGTCACATCGAATCCCCTGAAATGGGATGAATTTCCAAACTCTTCTTCGTAATATCAGGTGGTCCAATTTTCAGATTTCATACTCCAAACTATTATTATTGGGATATATGTACAACGGCACATATACAACGTCTCCGTTCTCCTTGTTTATTTGGCATGAATCTCGAGATGACTTGATTTCGCATGAAATTCATTCTTCCTTGAGCCATTTTTATAACTTTATAAAAAGAGTGAAAGTGAAGAGGAAAGAATGGCTCACCTGAGGAAGCAGGGCCAGATTGATGTGGGATAAAATATAAGTGAGGGAAATAGAAGCCCACAAAATCACCACCAGCAGCAGGACACACGATGAGAAGTGGATTTCCTTCCGTCCTCCTCTGCTGGCGTCCAGCCGAAAAGGAATCAATGCGAATAAAGCAATTTTGCTTGGGACTTAACTGTATAGTGGATTGAAGCAGCTTTTCATCTCGGTTGGCATTTGAGATACGTACCTCCTCCTTGGACCACATTACATTATAGATATACTTACAGGGTAGTGACCACTCAATTGCCTATACTTGCTTCCCACAGGGTTGTCCGACTTCCTCTTCTTCATCCCAGGCCTACCTGAGAACGAGCACAAGTTTATGTGTCTTGGTTTAGTTTCCTTCCCTTTTGCTGCTCATTGAACTGCACAGACATGAAGGCATCATTGCTTGTTTTGTCGGTGGAGGAAGTGACCAAAGATTTTTCTCGTTTCTCATAAAGTATTCCCTGTTTGACCCTTGTCCTACATTTCAAGAAATAAATAGGTTTACTTGCTTGGTTCATGCGCTCCTCTTCGCCACACGCGTTCATAAGCACAAGAGGCCTGAATATAAGAACAATAGCTCTTAACCATCATCTCTTATCAGTGCTGTGAAAGTATTTAGAATGGTGGACTGTCGAAGAGATAAGTTAACTAATAAGAATAGCATAAATAAATGGGTGGAGGAACGAGGAAAGAACGGGAAAAGAGCGAGGAGGTAACTGCATTCAAAATTGCATCGGATACAAAGAATGTGGAGAAAGGGAGCTGCGACGGCGAAGGCAGAGGAAGTCGACGACGGTGGACGGAAGGAGGACGCGGATATATAAAATTTTTATCAGGAGCACAAATCCCTCCGTATGTAAAACAACTTCACCCCCACGGCTTCACCATTTCCATCTCGGCTCATTCATTTCACATTCCGTGCATTGCTTTCCCCATTTGGACTTTTCACCATTCAGCGTATGCAACAGCCTTAATCTACCTGCCTTGCATTTGCCTTGCCTGGGATCTCAACGGCCTATTTCTCCAACATAACTCACCCATCTGCATTATGGCCTTATCTCAAGTTCTTCCTCTATTTCATCAGCCATTCACCATTTTTATCTTTGTCAACCGACCCTCAGCAGCAGTCCACTATTTGCAAGAAGAGTCATTTCCTTCCATCTTTTCTCATTTCCTTGAACACTACTAACCAACGAATAAATACTTGTTGGATACAAATGGAGAGAGGAATTTCGTCTTTATGCACCACGTCGTAGTTACAATATTTTTATGGCATAATTTATTTGCTTTCCCTACTACGTAAATGTAAATCCATACAACGGCGAAATGGATGCAAGTGTCTGTAAAGAGTTTACAGCTTTCGCAATGAGTACATTGTTATCGATTTGTACAGACACATGTACGTACAATCTATTTGACCCAATCTTCACTTTTCCCATGGCAAATTAAGACTTAAGTATGAACACTGTAATGGAGACATAGAGTGGGGAGAGATGATATCTAGCAAATGGTTCATTTGACCCTGAAACCCCCTTAACGGTGTGTGCAAGGCTCGTAGAGTTTTAATTGAACAGGGACCATTTCTTCAAAGATGCTTTAAAAACCTCCCGTCAATTTAATTGATTTACGTTTCGCCAATAGCAGGAACCAGTTCCCAACGAGAGAGCAAAAGGCAAGCAGACAGACATTTGTGGTGGTGAACTGTAGCCAATTTCTCACGAATTTGGAAGTTTTTTCTCCGTTTGTGGAGGCTTTTGTGGGAAAAGTCTCATTGGTCTAATCTAATAGTTTCTTTCGAGACTCCTGGACGTGGTTATTCTGTGGTTCTTGCAGCAGTCAGTAGCACTACTGTAGTTTTTGAAATTGTTATTAGGATGTCAGTGGTGAGGAAAGCCTTGTTTCTCGCTCTCTCCTTTCCCTGATGGAATTCACTTTATGTGCCAGTTCAAAATAAGCTTTTGAAATTGTGTATTACCACCGCAATCTATTTATCACGAGCCCCATTCTCATAAATAAATAAAATACGAACCCAAATGCAAATTAATGTATGTGTGTGGAGAGATGCCCCCATGGTGCATGGCGGCGTTGGATGGTTGAACGTTCCGCAAAAATTAGGGAGAATGAAATCTCGTTAACTAACGAGCTCTAAAAACGAGAGCGAGGACGACTTGCTTGCTTAGTTGGCATTAAGAATGGGTAGAAGAAAGTTGCAATTTACAATGATTGTGTTGACACACAGGAGCGAGTACGAGTCGGATGGAGTTTTTTCCACTGGCGGCCGTCGGTATAGGAATGGCAATCGTGGGAACGGTACTTCTTCTGTTCCTGGTCATGCTATTTAGAACGCGTCTCACAAATGCCAACAGTCGCACCATGCGAACCCAACCAGCCAACAATGCCAACAACTCTCATCATCATCCCTTGGAGAAACCAAATTCACTCATCTTGACGTCAGGGTTGACAACGACTTCTGCCACCAACAACTCGTCATCAACGAATACTACGAGCAACATGAACTCTGGGTATCGGGCCCTACCACAATCAAAAGCAGAGGCTGATGCTGCCAATCCTGACATAATTCCGGGTGCCAATGGCAAAAATTTCCCAGCAACCAAAGGTAAGAAACCACTTTCTCCACCACAAAACTATTTCACAACAATAAATGAGTGGAACCGACTGTATGTAAGACCATGGCTTTCCAGATTCACTAACCAACCAAAGTATTTGTCATGTGATGTTGGTCATGTCAAGGAAGAAAGTGGGTTGGTGAGGTTTTGGAGGACAAAGTTAGGAATAGTTTCTTCCACCCCCCTCCTCTGAATGCTTGCCAACTCACAAACTCACCAAATATCATGCATGACGGTGGTTATTGATTCTCGAAAGAATTTTAGTCTACAACTTTTTTCTCCTTCCTCTATAGTTGAATATTTAGCGATGCTGTTATGATCAAAGAGTTCAGGAGGAAAAAAATACACTAGAGTTGATGCAGTTTATTTAAATACGTACATAAATTATTAGTAATAATAGCATTCATCAGTATGTATAAAGATAGCTGAACATGTTTAAATACCAGAAAATCCATGAGTAATTCTAATTGCAGATTATAAAGACGAGCTGCAAAGAACGCTTTCCCTGCGAAAGGGTGGTGCTTTCATCCCTGCATCATCTCCGCTCGAGAATGGGCAGAGCAGCAGCAGCCCGATGCAGGGGAATAATAATGCAAATAACACCCTTCCCAGACCTCGTCCTCCTCCCGGCCTGGGCAACACGAGTGGTGGCAGCGGTGTTGCTGGAAATGGGTCCTTTCATCATCATCCTCCTCAAAACCAAACAGGCAGCCAACATCACCAACAACAACAACATAATCAACTCCAGTACCAGACATTGAAAAATTACGTGAAAGATTACCCTCCTCCGCATTATCATCACTCGCCCATCCCTGCCAATGACTATAACACCATTTACATAAGAGACAAACTCCTTCACGACGTCGACATTCCCGAGAGCTGTGTATGAGACGCGGCGAAAACCTATTATGTTTAGGGCTCCATTTAATGAGTGTTGGGCAAACTTAATTTGAACTTTCTCTTACAACAACAACAACCACCGTGCTGAATATGTAAGGCCATTCAACATTGAGTTTAAATGCGTGTCGATAATTTCATACCATATTGGCATTTTGGCTAAAAGGGATTAGCAAAGAAAATATTATTCAACTCTTAATACCCAAAAATGTTTTATTGTATCGAATAATAGAAAAACTTTGTGTGTATATCGGAGAAAGTTCTAAATGCATAGTTAGATTTTGTACGAGCGAACAGGCAGGAGCAGGATGTGTGTATGCATGTATTTGTCCATGTGTGAATGTATGCAAATGAGGTTTATTCCATCACTTGTGGAACAAAATAAGCGTTTTTATGTCGTCGTGAGAGAATTTATTGAAACGTTGACTTACTGCCCGTGCGGACGGAAAGTATGAAAACGAGCCAAATCTCACCAATTTTAGTTGAAGTGGAATTATGGTGAAAAGGACGACGTCTTGCATCTTCTGTATGCAAAATAACCTACGTTGGAAAAGAAGCTTTCCTTCCTTGGATTCATTCCATAAGTGCTTTCTCTCCTTGTCAGTCGTAGATAAGATTTGTATGTCGCATTTGTCATAAAATTCTAAAGCCCGACATGAAGATTTCCTTACGAGACCCTCGACCTAAATAAATCCATAAAACCGGTGAAAATCTGTGAAAACTCACATTCAAATCTACAAGCTTTATCTCTTTCCCCTAAAATAATCCTTGTCGTAAAAGAAAACATTGCCAATGTAAGTACAATAAGCAGTCTGAGACAATGCATTCGACGAACGAAGAGATAATTCAATGGGAGACACGTATGAATCATGCTCATGAGCAATGATAAAAAACTGCGGCGGATTGCACAATGTGTGGACGTGGCTGTTCTATCTACTCGTTCCCTTGTAACAATATTATTCATTATATAAGAAAGAGAAAAATAAAATACAATAAAAGATTATGCTGAAGGACGACATATATCTTTTTCCATACATTACTTACTTTCTTTCTCATGGCCGTTTTCATTCCAAAATTACAAAAGTATCGCATTTGACCGAATCAAAATGGGAAAACTCGATGCAATATAAATATTTATTACAGGTAAGTGTGTCTGCATACAGTGTACGGATTTTCCTTGGACACCGATGATACATACATGTCAAAGGTGTCATCCCTTGAGAAATCTGACTTTTTTATATACTTTATCTGTAAAATGTTGCGCAATTTTTGTCATATGACAAAAAAAAGTTGACAGCAGCTATACTACGCAACACATGTACCACTGAAATGATTTTTAAGTTGATAAAAATTTCTTTTCAAAGCGAACTGGAGCCTACAAAGAAGAACAGGAAGCAACAAGTTACCTTCAATGTGATGATGTTGAATATCTCTTGATAAAATATGTATTAAATTTCCATTTGAATGGCGAAATTGAAAATGTATTTTAAGCAAAATATGTGAAAGTGGAATTGGCTAACGAAATCATACAAAATCACCTCACCAAAGAAAAGTAAGCTCAAAATATAAGTACGTACATTGCCGGTTCAAATCAGTAGACGTAAGTCGAAACTTCCTGTTCCCTAAATTAGGAATGCGCAAAGTAAGTATGTATGTATATAAAGACCATCAGGACATCCTCATCTCTTTGGACATATATAAATGGACATATAGAATTGTCAATAATTTATCGGATTGATTGACAATAGTGTATTTAAAAAGCCAATATTTAATCAAATTTAAAACATTTTATATACCAAACATTTGTACATTTAATCCTTTATACCAGATTTTATTTCATTTTTAAAATTAAAATTAATACCAAATGATCCCACGCCCCCCTTACCGTGCAGTTGAAGTAACTTTCTTTCCAGACCAGCTTCAAGTGTTACCTATATGTATACCAAAAACTCATTTTTTAAATTTTCTCCTATAATTTTTCAGTATTATTTCTTCATATTGTTGGACTCATACATAACTCATACATAATACATACATATAATGACATAGGTACAACACTAAGTAATCAGTAGCGTTTTCGACACTAGTATTGACACTACTTGGTCTATGGTATGCATATAACGCCCGGTTTGCATGACTATCAATTACAAGAAGCATATCGGAAAAATTGACTACGCAGGAATCGTACATATCTACTACACTATTGCTACTACAATATGATACACACATTGATGTCAAAAATAAACCAATTACATTTTTTAAAGTCGACGTGTCATGCTGTGCGGAAGTAAGCAAAACTTGTAGGAAATCTGGAAAAGTTTGTGAAAAAAGTATAAACGTGAGAGTGAGTTGGTTTGGTTTTAAGAGAATGCTGGTTGGCTGTGTATTGCCACAAATGCTCCATTTCCAGGCTTAAAGCTAGATGAAAGAGGAAAAGTGAGCTCCAGCTCCAAACCTCAAACCCGACGACGACGAGTTTCATCACATACGCACCCACTTTCTCCACTCCAGCACCTTTTCTAATCTTGAGGAGAAAACTGCTCCCCTATATTTTGGAAAAATTGCAGGTGATTTTTCTCCTTCATCTTTGATGGAACACATACTTACGTGCGAGACGTGATTGTTGTGAGTAAACCAAAAATTGAAAAAGTTTCAAAAAGCTTCTGCTTTTACTGGGCGATCCAATCTACAATCCACACTTGGTTCTATTTTGCAATGCTCTTCATTTTTAGTTCATATCAACTTGGTTGTTGGTATGGGAATACCACCCATTGTATCTCGAATATTGCAAACTATACACAGGCAGTTTCTCATATAGCGTGCTGCGTATTAAGCCACATATAACTTCCATTCTGCTACATGGTTGGACGGAATATATAAAATGATAACTATATAATTATCATGAATTAGGTTTGGATTTTAGAAATCAAACAATTATATTTCAATTTTTGGGTTGCCTTTGTCTGGAGGAGCCATTATTTCTAACGTCGGAGCAAATTTGAATGTCGACTCGACGTGGTCCTTACATATTCGCAGCGTATCACTTGGACGAGGTACAGAACTAATCAGACTGACACTGCACTTTAAGAACGGACAGGTGTACAACGCCTGACACTTAAACTCGTATACATAAGTTCTCTCTCCCACTCGACCTGTCCTGAATTGTAAAGTTAAATGTGTCATCATTGGTTATATTTACATAACTGGGAGGATATATATACTCACTGTAAATTAAAATAGAAAAATGCAACAGTTTGGGTAGATGGATGCGTATATTTAAATAAGAACCAGTCTTTAGATAACTGGTGTAGTTAAATAAGTATCTATATTTTATCGTACTTCTACTAACTTTTTTTTACTATTTTGCTATGGTCGATATAGCTGCCTTAAAAAAGTGCATAATAGTGAAAGGAAATGATAACATTTCGTGGAACTACCTGTCCAGAAAATTTGTGTACTAACTTCCAGCCACTTCTGCGCAAATTGTGGTCATTTCTCTTTCCAATAAGCATACAAATGTGAACATGAACAACACTTGGCGAAAAATCACATCAAGATCGGATAGATCGAGTTGCAATGAATCGTGTCCTACACTATTCCATTGCGCCCCGCATGCATGAGCTCATCACTCCAATCTCATCCATCCATCCATGGTGAAGAGAAAAAGGGGCCAGATTCGGAGCAGAGAAAGGAAGGGATGAGGAGAGAAAGCAAAAGAATCATGTTACCAATTTTGTTCACGAGTCTTATAAAATTTGCCAGAATTTCATTTCATGGCAGCCAGCAGCCTCCCGCTCTCTCTCTCCCACGTCCCGGCCAAAGAAAAATGAAATCTAAAATATAAAGGATGATGGGAAGAACTCATTCTAATGTTATACATGAGATTTGTAAACGTGATTGACATAAAAGATAACCACCATCATCATCCCATCTCTCTCCTGCTGTTATCAGATCACCTTCTCCCTCCAAACTTTATAGTTTCAAACTTATTTTCATATTATTGCTTGTTTCACAGGTTGCTTGCTTATCTGTGTTGTCCAATATTGCCCTATTGTGATTGAGCTACTTTTTATCAACCAGTTTGGCCTCATTGTCAGTAAGTCTTATGCACCAGAAAAATATGGAAATTAATTTCTACTGGCATTTTATTATGTACATCACTGCAACTTTGATACCGAGGGATATGACACAACCACAATAAAGCCAAACAAGTAAGTATATGCATATATGTACATAAATAAATATATAAATACAAATTTCGCTGTGCTCAAATTCATGTTTGACAGCTTACAGCACAATATATCACGTTTTACATGGCCATGAGTTCCTAATGTTGCATAATGTGCTTGTCCTGCACATTATTAAAACAGTATTTATTCGCCTTACAGACAACGTGCATCTTCATTTCGGAGAGATGCACATTCTTTCATCCAGAAAATAAAGATTTATTCTGATGATAGTATAAGAACACCGTTTAATACGAAAATTTGTTCCGCACAATTTGGTTCAACAAAACGACGTACAATTTTTACGATACATTTTATTCCTATAAACCACAGCATGCAGGGAGTCCAGGGAAAAATGGGAATTTACCAAAAAATTGTGTAATAATGATGATTTAGTAAAAAAAACATTCGGAGTATTAAAAGCGATGCTAATAAAGGATTGTAGTTATATACGTATTTACTTATACGATACACAATTATGTATAAGTAGTTTTCTTAGATTTTACAAATGGGTGATAATATCTTAGCCTAGCCGGTAGTAACTGACCGACTGTTATGTTGGGGCCATTAATTGGTATATTTAAAATTCATCGGATTATCTTAAAATCTAAATATATAACTCCAGCATTTCCAAATAGTCACAAGCACACAATTTCAGTACAAATCAGCACAATTCTCCTACCACCTCCTCTCCTTCAGCGTTAGCTTTTGTCCTGAAATGCGGTTAAGCTGGAGTAAATAATGGGCAAATCTGAACTTATCTGACACCCACTATACCCGATTTGGGATTCAATGATCCATATGAAAAAGATATCGCTTTTGTGGCCTTCAGAAAAATTGGATAAAAACGGCTCATTTTCTGTTTCACGGACGCAGAAAAATAAGTCCTGCTTTGTCTACCTATTTCCACGTCCTTTCCATATCAGGAGAAAACACAATGCAGCCGCTTCTCCCGTAAAAGACAGTAGAGAAGCAACGAGATAACGCGTTTCAAACTTGTCAAAAAAAGTCTCCGAGCTCCAAACAAAGCCAAACCATTATTATCCTGGTCATGGCATAGCCGTGGTGTTGTTGTGCATACGTCGCGTCTGGAAGCATACGTGTGCTCCGAGTATTCCCACACCCTCCCGTATTCGAAGTGTATGTGATATTGGAATAAGAAAAGTTTGTGTAGAGCGAAATTGTTAAAAAGTGCAGTCAATTTAGCGAAAAATGTGAACAAAGTTAGTGGGAAGGGAGAAAGTGGAAAAGCTGTGGGGTGGTGATGGTGGTGGTGTGATTCTAGGGTGAGAAATTCTATTTGATGCAGTCCACACTTGAAGTGAGAAAACTCTGTGTCCTTTAAACATGAAAACGTGTGATGTGATGTGATGCCACTAAAATGTTCAAGTCCAGAAATAAAACGGATTGACTCGGCTTACACACCAAAGCCTTGCCCAAAGTTGGCCCAAGTTGAAAAGGAACTGCTAGCGGATGGAAATATTCGATGAGGGAATCATTTCTGAACAGAACACAATTGCAATTGTCAGTTGTACTACAAAGTGAAGGCTGTAAAAAACAAAGTTGAAATCACTCAGCCACTTCCATCCTCCTCTTCGATAGGATCTCATCCCCCCGCCGCCTCCGCGCTTCCTCTCTCGCTCTCTCTCTCATCCACCTATTTTGAAACTTTGAATTTTCCAATGTTTCCACAAAGTCTAACATTTCAAGGAGTATATCCCTATTATGGCCAAATGTCAAGAATTCCAATTTCGAAAGGATTATCCGATTGAATCCAATTCATACTTATTCTAC